TACAATTGGGGTTATTATTTGGTAGAGCTTGCAATAGTGTACTGCCATCCTCCAGGGTCCATGAGTTTCTGCAGCAACCAGACTGGTGAATTAAACACAGCTTAAACAAGGACCGCCATCTCTGAATCCTGACACCCTTATGGATGGCACTAATCTCCACCATTCTCCACTGAGATGCAATATTAATATTGTTATTGATTTATCTTGGCTGGGTTAGCCGCAGTTTGAGAGGCTTCCCCTATTTCCGGACTCTCAATTCTATTCCATTGATTGATAGGCCTATCCTTATGCCAGTACCACAGTGTCCTTATTATAGCTTTCTAGTAGGTTTTGAAATACTGGAAGTGTGAGTACTCCAACTTTGTTCTTCATTTTCAATATTGTTTCGACTATTCTCAGTCCCCTGCAATTCCATATGAATTTTAGGATCAGCCTATCTATTTCTGCAAAATAAGTGGCTGGGATTTTGATAGAAATGGCACTGAATCTGTAGATCAATTTGGGAGTATTGCCATCCTAACAATATTCAATCTTACAATCCATGAACATGAGGATAACTCCATTTATTTAGGTCTTTAGTTTCTTTCAATGATTTTGTAGTTTTCACTGTACAAGTTTGCACTTTGGTTAAATTTATTAAGTGTTTTATTCATTTTGATGCTATTTTAAATAACATTTGTTTTTAAATTTCATTTTTGGAATGTTCATTGCTAGTAAATAGAAGTAAAATAGATTTTTTATATTGATCTTGTATTCTGCAGCCTTGCTAAACTCATTTAATAGTTTGTGTGTGTGTATTCCTTAGGATTTTGTATATACAAGTCATTTAATCTGTGACTGCATGCCTTTTGTTTCTTTTTCTTGCATAATTGCCCTTGATAGAATGTCTAGTTCAATGTTGAATACAAGCGATGAGAACAGACTTTCTCCCCTTGTTCCCAATGTTAGGGGGAAAGCATTCAGTTTTTCACAAGTGTGGTGTAAGCAGTGAGTTTTTCATAGATGGTCTTTATCAGATTGAGGATTCACCTGCATTTTCGTAGCATAGTTTCACTGGATATAGAATTCTGAGTTGACAGTTTTCTTCTTCTTGCACATTATATCATTCTTTGTTCTTCTGGCTTCCATTATTTCTAAGGAGAAGTTGGCTATCATTTGTATCATTGTTCTCCTATATGTAATGTGTCACTTTTCCCTGACTTCTTTGAAGACTTTTGCTTTATTGGAGTTTAGCAGTTTGCCCATGATTATCCCTAATGGTGGTTTTCTTTATATTTATACTCCTTGGAGTTTCTTGAGCTTCTTCAGTCTGTAAATTTATGTCTTTCCAAATTTGGGAGCTTTTGCCATTATTTCTTCTTCAAGTATCTTTTATATCTCATTCTCTCTCTCTTCCATCTGGAATTCCAATTGCTAATATCTTAGACCACTTGATATTTTCCCACAGGACTCTCAGGCTTTTTTTTTTTTTTTTTTTTTAGGAAGCCTGGCCCTGAGCTAACATCTGTACCAATCTTCCTCTACTTTGTATATGGGATGCCGCCACAGCATGGCTTGATGATTGGTACATAGGTCTGCACCTGGGATCCGAACCTGTGAACCCTGGGCCACCAGAGTGGAGTGTGTGAACTTAACTACCACACCACTGGGCTGGCCCCTCAGGCTTTATTATTTTTTTCTTCATTCTTTTTTCTGTCTGTTCTTCAGATTAGGTAATCTATTGATTTATCTTCAAGTTCACGTATTCTTTACTATGCCATCTTCAATCTGCTATTAAGCTCATTAAGTCCATGAATTTTTCATTTCAATTATTGTACTTTTCAGCTCTGAAATTTCTATTTGATTCTTTTTTATAGTTTGTTTCTCTGCCATGTTCCCCATCTGTTTATCTATTGTGTGTTTATTTCCCTTTAAATCCCAGTAGATATATAGCTCTTGACTGCTAATGACAACATCTGAGTGGAGTGATCTTGTGGCTGGTATCTATTGACTGATTTTCTTTTGCCTTGAATATGAGTCATATTTTTCTGTTTCTTCACATTTCTAGTAGTTTTATCATTGGACTGGATTATATTGTTTTACAGAGTGATTTTTTACTAACTTTGTAAGATGAGTGGTGACACTTTCTTTTCTATATGAAAAGGGGATTATCTGTTCCTGTGTGTTTGGTAAAATTCAGGTTTTCTATTTCTTGAGTGAATTTTCAAATTACATAGTTTGTAGAAAATTATCCATTTCATTTAAAATTCAAATTTACTGTAAAATTATAATAATCCCTTAAGATTAAAAAAATACTGTTGTGTTACCTACTGGTGTGTGTGTGTGAGGAAGATTCGCCCTGAGCTAACATCCATTGCCAATCCTCTTTTTTTCCTTGAGGAAGGTTAGGCCTGAGCTAATATCTGTGCCAGTCTTCCTCTACTTTGTATGTAGGATGCCTCCATATCATGGCTGCCGAGTGGAGTAGGTCCATACCTGGGATCCAAACCCATGAACTGGGGCCATCAAAGTGGAGTGCACATAACTTTAACCACTTGGCCTCGGGGCTGGCCTCCTATTAGGTTATTTTTTTTTCTGATTTTGTTGAGCCTTTTCTATTTCCTTTATTGTCTATTTATTAATTTGTTTTTCCTTTCATTATTTCCTTCTACTTTCTTAGAGGGGGGTCCTTTTTTTCTTTTTTTAGTGGACAACAAATTTTAGTCTTTTTTAATAAATACATTTAATGTAAATTTCCCTCTTATATCTGCTTCTTAGGAGTTCCCATTATTTGCAGATTTCGTGTTATATGTTGTCAGCTCTGTCATATTTATTTATAGAAATTATCTCAGAAATGAGTGTTCATCTTTGTAGACTGAGAATGGAGGTTCAGAGAAGTGAATGAGATCATCAGGCCTCTAGCAACTTGCTACTATCAGGATCTTGCCTCTACCCAGTTTCATTTGAAAAAATGTGCTTCCCTCTCTCAAAGGCTAATCCTCTCACCTGTTCTCTGGATCCTGCCCCTCCTGCTTCCTCAGTGACCTTACTTTGTCAATTATCACTCATTGCTGTATTTGGAAACTTTCTCTCTCCACTGGCTCTTTCCCCTGACAGAGTTATATTTTTCTTTCACCTTTAAAAGTCTCCCTTGATTCTCTGTCCCTCTTTCAACTACCCTCCCATCTCTGTCCTTCCTATGCAGATAGGGCTTCTGGAGAGTATCCTCTGTTCAGTCACACTTCCCATCACTCCTCTCCTGAGCCAGTTTTCTGGCTTCTGCCTCCTCAGCTGCAAGTGAAACCACTCTGACCAAGGTCACCAGTGTCTACCTAGTTGCCAGACACAGCAGATGCTTGCCAGTCCCTGTTTTACTAAGCTTCATCGTAGCCTTTGGCATTGTTGATCACTTCCTCCTCTTTAAAACTCTTCCTGCAATTTCTATGCGCATGCTCTTTCTTGGCTTTGCCCTTTTCTCTCCAGTTATTCCCTCTCTTTTGTGGACTATTCTTCCTCCCCAAGCCTTTAAATGCTGCTGTTGCCCATGGCTTCATTATTGGTCCTTTTCTTACTCTAAACGATCTTCCTTGGCAATAGCATCCACTTCACGGCTTCAACTACCACTTTTAAAAGGATGCCTCCAAAATATCTAGCTCTTGGCCAGAGCTCTCCTGAGGCAGAGACCTAAATATTCAGCTGCCCATTGGACCTCTTCACTTATGGGTTCCACAGGACCTTAAAGAGCATGACCAAAATGGAGCACAGCATCTTCTTCCTCGAGTCTATTCCTCCTCCTTTGTTCCCTATCTTGGTAAATGGCCCCACATCTACCTAACTCCCCAAGTCAGAAACCTAGGAGTTATTCTGGATTCCTTCTTCCTTACCCTGAATATTCAGCGGTTGAAATCTTACCATTTCCCAGGTTTGCACACACTGCCCTCCGTCTCCATCCTGTCACTGCCTTATTTGCAGGGCTCTTGCTCTGTCACTGCAGTCCCAACTGGTCTCCCCACCTTGGGTTTTACCTCCCTACCCACACCAATCCATTTTCTATATGATTACCAGAATAATCCTCTCTGTTGCAAATCTGAGCATGTTATTCCCTTGCAATACATCCCTCGTTGGCTCCCTTTGGCCTTCTGGATAAAAGTCCAAAATTCTTAGCATGATACACAAGGCCCTTACTGATCTGTCCTTCACTCAAACCTCCATAACTATCTTTGACTTTTCTCCCTTCAAACTCTACAGCCTAATAACAAATTGCAGTTCCCAGAATGTGCAACTCTGCCTTCCCGTGTAGTCTTTATCTAGCTGTTTCATCCTTCAACACTCAGTTCAGATGTTACCTTCTCCAGCACATATTACTCACTATTCTCCCTCATCATTGGATTGGGGGCCTATCCTACCTGCTCCCATAGTCCACCTCTACTGTAACCCTTACTGTATTGGTTTTCCTGTATCTCCTTAAGGGCAGTGACTTGATATTTTTCACTCTCTAGCTTCAGTTCTTATCACAGTGCCTGGTGCCTGTGGGTAGACGCTTGATAAATGTGTGTCAAATGAGAAAATGTTCTCAGCTGCCTAAAAAGCTTGGACCATAATTTAAGGACCAGTTTCAGTGTCTGAGAACATGCACAATTTGATGAACTCCCATCAAACTTCTTGAAACCAGGAAATGGAAAAGCAAATGATCACTTTAAGAAAAGCGGAAATCCAACCCAATGACAGATTAGAAAAAAATTAAAATTTACAATCAATAGTTTAAAACTACCAAATGCCACATAGGTAGGACGAATACTAAGCTATAATTTTTCCTGACAGAAGGCTTCTTAGTTTTCAAAATGACTCTCTACTGTTCCTTGATCTTGCCTCCTTTTATAGCACTGATGGCTATAACTTTGGATCTCTGTGTTCATTTTCCTTAGACCACTCGAGCTACCTTTGGGTCTTATCATCTGAAGTTAAATTTAAAATCTATCAATTCCAATTTGTCAATTTTCCCATTGTGTGAAGCATTAAACACAATCAGGCATCAATATTTATTAACACAAGACAAAGGAAACACATTCAATGAGTTAATAGAACACTGTCCAGCCAGATGTTAAATTTAAAAATGTATATCTAGTCTAATTTCAAATAAATAAAAAAAAACCTTTATACATAATTACACAGTACTATCGTTTGAATTTGACACTGGTAAATATCTTGACAGAAAGTAAACAAACAGCATTTAAAACTAAAAAATTAATCTTATATCTTTACACTCTCTTCCTCTGGACAAATAACATGGCCCATCTACATATACCTAAACCAGAAATGTTGTATGAATGAGAAAGAAAGGCCTGTTGTGTATTTGGAGTACTGCAGCTTCTGGCTCCAAACACGCTTGCTTTTACATCAAAGCAGACAACAAAAACAACACTAAGGCATAGATCATGTTGGAGTTTGAGGGTGAGGTGATAACTCCTCATTGCTTTAGTCTAAAAGATTCCTGGAAATTCAAGGAAAGTAATTCATTTGGCCAAGAATATTGAGCACCATGCTTGGGGCAGAGACCTTAACAAAAAACCTAAGGCCTCAGGCCCTTTGTTGATTCAACAGAAGCAATAAGCAAGCATTGCCCAAGGACTAAAGTTAAGGAGACACACTCACGACCAATAGACAGGCAATGGTCCCTAAACAGCCGGAGGCAGCACAACTTCAGGAGGAAAGGACTTGGTACTCATGGGACCAGGGCCCTTTGAGGCAGGAAGTAAATAAAGACTGCGGATTCACTGATGCCCATTAGCATGCTGGTCACTGCCTGGGTCTCACTGATGCAGGAGATGGCATTTGTGCAGCTCTAAGAATAGAATCCCTAGGGCCTAGGAATTTTCCTGAGGCAGCCCCTTCCTGATCTACTTCAGTTACTTCTGCTGAGAGGCAGAAAGAGGTTCAAAGACTTTCAGATGAATAGATTTCTCTTAACTCAAATGGAGGCTTGCTGTTAATTTCGTTTTCTCTTTCACAGGCATAAAAACCCAAACAGAATGTGTTCCAGAGGATTGGCAAGGCTGATTTTATCAATAATGGCCTTCTGTGACTGCCTTAAGAGTCAGTTCTACCACAAAGGTTCTACCTAACATGGAAAGAGCAAGAGAGTTGTGTCATCAAGAGAAAGTTTTCTTATCCAAGTCTGCAACAGATGAGGTGTTAAATCTGCAGATGACCCGCAAACACCTCTAAGGTAATGACTGGACTCTCTTCCTCTTCCAGGGGGTACTTTACCAGTGTTACTGATGAAGTTCCCCAAAGGTGCATCTCAGCTTTCTTTCCTCCACTAGCATATTCTGGTTTTGGGGGATATGCAAAAGATCAATAAACAGCCACAAGGCAGAAAGCAAAAACTAAAGATAAATCAGAAGCCTGAGGAACTAGGAAGCTAGGTGATCAGCCCCTAAGTAACTGGCAGCTGCCGCGCTCTGAGATTAACGGAGCATCTTATCTGAAGGAATGAGCATAGATCGGCACTGTCCAATATTGTAGCCAGTAGCCACATGTGGCTACTGAAAACCCGAAACATGGGTAGTCTGAATTGAGATGTGCTTAATACACACTGGATTTCAAAGACTTAATAGGAAAAAAACAAGTGAAATATCTCATTAATAGTTTCTTATATTAATTCCATATCAAAATGATAGTATTTTTGATATATTGGGTTAAATATATTAAAGTCAATTTCACCTGTTTCTTTTTACTTTTTAAAATGTGGTTACTAGAAATTTAAAATGACAGATGTGGCTCACATTCTATTTCTAGCAGACATTCTAACTTGGGCAGTAAGAATTATCAAAGCAACTCATAGGACAAACTGCCTATATATTTTTTTTAGAACTTGTGGATTATGGAGATAGAACTATTTAATCCTCAGGATCCCTTGCTTTGTTTAGTGAATCATTAACAAGTGTTTTAAGAAAATTACTTTTCAAATAAGCAGGCTGTTTTCTCTACAAACCAAACCGGTGCTAGTCACTGGGATTTCTTGCCCCCCGGCAGTGTGCTTTTTCTGCACTTCCTAGAACCTCTCCCATCACGTGTAAATTAATTTCATCCAAAATGTTGAAAAGAGATCTGGAACTGGAAAATGTCTTGAGGTCCGCCCTTTGCGGAGAATGAGTTGGGGGGAAAAGAGGATTATGTAAAAGGGATAAAGTGGCTTTGGGTCACAGACAGTGTAAGGGCAGCCCCCGAGAGGGCTGCCATGGCAAAGGGTCTGGTCTTTGCATTATAAACCTTATTTTCAGGGTAATTACAAGTCTTAGAAATTGTTTAAAAACATATTTTAGTTTACATGATGTTACAGTGGGGTAAATAATATGTATTATTAAAATAGCCTAAATAAATATTTACACAATAGACCAGAGTGGGTCAAAGAGAACCATTCTGATTTAACAAGTTAACTCTGTTCACTTTGAGTTTTTTTTAATTTTTAAAAATATTTCTGTAAGAAAAAAATAATAAAATTCAACTATATTCAAATACATGAAGTATCAGACCAAAGAAAGGAAACCAAGCCGGAGGCCAAACTCAGTCCCAGGCTCAGTCCACTTGGCCTGGGCACCACAGTTATTTCAAAAGAGTTTCTTGCATACATCATACTTCCCCTATTTCAGCATAAGCGTGGCTATTTTGGCAACCCAATCTGGTCAGTTTTGAGATGTGTAGTTATGTGGCCTTATGCTTTCATGTGACTGTTGATCCCACTGCCTTCCCAGCCTGTCATTCTTTTTCTTAAAATCCCTGCCCTCATCTATTGGAAGAACAGAGGACACTCTTCAGTTTTCAGAAAAGAGAAGCTTATATGTATAAACTGTAGACAGAGTTTACAGTGGGCCTGGAAAAAGAGGAAATTCTAAATTCTTACGTAGTCACTCTAAATTTGAAAGACAGTTTCAACACTGGGGGCCAGAGTGAGTTATTGTGGTTCTTTAGAATAGGGTGGGATCTAATGAATCTTAGCTTTTTCATAACACTTTGATTTTTAAACTGAGATTTTCCAGCTTGTAGAAACACGCTGAATTCTTAAAAGCTTAAGCTGATTCCGGGAATGCAAGCTTTAAAAACAAACATAGGCAGCTTTAGTTTATAAAATACACCAGCCAACAGAGACAGAAAACGTGCAGCGAAACCTGCAAACAATTTGCACTTTTTAGTTACCTATTCAGTTATACTGCATTAAGAGAATACTGAAATTCTCTCAAAGTAAAACTGTTTCTACTTTGGTGGTTATAACTATACAAGCCAATTCAAATTTTTAGCTGAATTATGTGTATTCTTATTTACATGTTTAAAACACTGGTCAAAATGTTTTACAGTCAAGAATTATATATATAAAGTAATTTTCATATTCAGTGGGTTATCTGACTTGCTTATGGGTCGACTGAAAGTAAGCTGAGTAGTTCCATGTTAACAAAACCCGCAGAATGTCTAGCTGTGGTAAAATGGCAAAATACAGTACAGAGCGGGGAACTGTGTAACTCAGACCACCCCCTTTATGTGAATTCATTAAACTCCCTTACAAAATTCTAAAACAGCATTAGATAAAAATACAAGTATATACAACAGATGAAAAAAATGTAACATGCATGTAATTGCTTTAGTAACGTGCTGCTCACGCTATGTCAAAGCTCATGACTAACAGACTGTTAACATTTTTTTCATTTGCCACCACAGAATTCCCCTTTCCTGTGTGTCGTGTGATTGTAGAATCCCACAGGATGAGATGAAATATATAATGTAGCCATCTCAGCTTATTTCCCATCATTTGAAAGCTTGCTCCTCGTCACGGGTCTTTGGTCCTTGCGGTTTCTCAGGGTGGCCCCTGTGATCCCCACAAGGCTGGTTACATGTTATAAGCCACGTAGATGGGGTCTAACTGGTCAGCTAGGAAGCTGTCACGGAGGTGCATCCTCTGCTTCTCTCCTCTAGAGTTGATGGGGATGACGCCCGGGTCCACCACAACTACGACGCCAACAATGAGGTAATGCTCTTCCAGGACCACATTTGTGACTAAAGGAACCAGATCGAGGGCTTCCTGTTCAGAGCCACACAGCTCCACAACCACCACAAGCAAGTTGGTCCACGTGAACACGGCACTGAAATTTCAAAGACATTCAGTTACATGTCATTACATTTACCAGTCATCTTTTACAGTGTCTGCCCAAGACTGAACCCCAATTCCCTGAGAACTGCCTTCTTTGCTGGATTCAACCAGAAGGCTAGCAGTCACATCTGTGACATAGAACCATTCCTCTCTGATTACAGCTGAACCAGCCAAAATCTCTTGAGAATTTGGAAGTGATTGAAAGTTATTAGCTGCTCACTTGAACTGAGGACGTGTGGACTTGAAAAGTTCTGGGCTAGCCAGGTGTCCAGGGAAGCACAAAGAATGGCTCTTCAGGGAGGAGAGAAAAGATGAAGTGGATGCCCACGTGGCTCTAGAGAGTGAGACGATAGTGGTTCCTGATGGCCTTGTTTTTACTTTTTTTTTTTTGGTGAGGAAGATTGGCCCTGAGCTAACATCTGTTGCCAATCTTCTTCTTTTCGCTTGAGGAAGACTGTCAGTGAGCTAACATCTGTGACAATTTTCCTCTATTTTTTCTATGTAGGACACTGCCACAGCGTGGCTTGATGAGTGGTGTGTAGGTCTACACCCCAGATCCAAACCTGCAGACCCCAGGCTGCCGAAGTGGAGTGCACAAACTTAACCACTAGGCCACTGAGCTGGCTCCTCTACCTTTCTTGAGATCCACAGTTAGATACTTTTAGGAACTTCTGTGATAACCAGGTATTCTTTCCATTAACTCTTTTTTACTTTTTGTTGAAGAGAGTTGCTGTTCTTTGCAACATAAGAGCTTTGACTAAGATAATATTCTTACACCCATCAGGAAGGGAGTTGGCCTGGCCTCATTTGAGCTTAGTGCCCCACACAAGTGTCTCTGCTGTTGTGCCATACAAGTGCCACAAGGTACAAAGTGAGTGCTGGGTTAGAAGGTATGACCTGATATGCAGTGTTAAACTGCTTTAACAAACAGAGTCCGATCATTAAAGAAAAATGTACACAATATTTGGTTGCATCACCAGTCGAATGTCTGAAATTAGAGGGTAGCCATGGCATTCTGCATTATTCTCATACCCCTGGGCGGTGTTCAGGTCTGAGGAGAGACTCTGACCAAAGCAAGAACATTTTTAGACAAAGCAGCATCTGGAAAACATGAGCAACCATTAAGAGAACTGTGGCTGTTTAGCATGAGGAAGGACACACTGACTTAAATATGTAGGAAAGAAACTGGATGGATTCTGCATTGTCAAGAATCCAGAAGGAAAGCCAACAGGAAAAACAGAGTTTTAATTTTAAGGAATTTTAAGTTAATGTGAGGTTGGATGATCCTTTGTCAGGGATAAGGTAAGGGGAATTCCCGCACTGAGAGGGAAATCGGATGAGATGATAATGATCCTTTTCATCTGCTTACCATCTAACAGTTGACAAGCACATTGTCATTTGATCCTCCCAATAATCAGGAAGTGGCAGAGGAAGCATTTTACAGATGAGGGAAGCGGCCAACGTAGGCCTGTAAGCTGGGTGTTCTGACTTAAAGTCATGGTTCTTTCCACCACATGAAACCGACTTCTAGATACAGGTGATCAGTACTTCCCTTCCAAGGGTGAGAGTCTATCACTAGTGAGGACTCAGCTCCACAGTGGTTCCTTGGCACCGGTCTCAGTGTCTCCACGGCTCGTCTGCCACAGCAGACGGCACACGAAGCAAGAATGAGTTCGTTTACTTTCTTACTCCCCTTGGCATTCTCTGTGTGTAGGAGGTACTTGGTACCGACGGCTGACTACTTGGATCAGTTTTAACTGACACTACAGCTGAGGTGGGAAGCATGTTCCGTGAGGGGGCACTTACCATTCAGCTATGCTCCTGTGGATCCGAGACACTGAGGTCTCGATATCGATCGGGTGGTATCGCAGTCCTCTCAGTTCCAGCGTTTCATCCAGGGCTCCCACCACATACAACGCATCGTGACGCTCTGACAGAAGGGAAGAGAGAAAGCTGGTTCCTCAGATACACTGAGTGCAGTACAGTGGTGGCTGAGAGCCCAGGGTTCAGGCTGCCTGCCTCGTCGCCTGGCTTCACCACTCACCAGCTCTGTAACCGGGCAAACCACTTAAGTTTCTGAGTCCTGCTTCCAGGATAATAACAAATGGCTGCTGTGAGGATTGAATGAGATAACCCACATAAGGGAGTTAATGTGATGCCTGGTACACTGTAGATGCTAAAACATTAGCTATTATTATTATTACTGTTCTGTGCCAGGAATTGTGCCAAGTGCTAGGAGACAAAGATGACAAAGCATGATTCCTGCTCTGAAGATACTTACTGTCTAGTGGGGGGAACACACACACAAACAGGCGTTCCGTCCTAACTCAGTGAGCCCGGTGATGGGGGTGCACAAGGTGTGAGGAGAGTGGAGGACACCCCCAGCTCAGCTCCGAGTTCAGGGAGGGCTCCTGGGAAAGCTGAAGCCAGGCTGAGTGTTTAAGGATAAACAGGAATTAGCCAGATGAAGGCTGGGGGAGGGGAGGGCAGGGAGGATTTGAGACGGAGAAGAAATGAACATGTGTCACTGTTTCTAGACATCTTCAAGGGATCCAGATACAAGGAGTAGGATTATAGAATATGGGGAGATGAGTCCTGGTTATTCACAGGCTTGTAATCCGGCTAGGACACAGCAGAAATTTCGTTCTTTTTTTGGAAAGATTTTATGCACACACTGTATATACAAGGCGACATGGTTTATGTCTATATAGATACTGCATTATGAAGAACAGAGATGATTTTGCTAGATCTACTGAATGCACTGTTTTCAGGAAAAGGTAAATTTCCGAAAAATTTAGCAAAATAAAGTGGTAGAAGCTGTGGGAGAGAGAAGGATGAGGAGGTCCAGCAGAGTCCCATCATACAAGAAGAGTTCATAAAGATTGTAATAACAAAATGACAAGAGAAACACAGTAGTTAACAATGAGTGAGTGCTTTCTATGGGCCAGGCACTATTCCAGGCACCTAAATGCATCATGTCATTTCATCTCACATTGTTGCCACGAGGCAGGAAACATCATCACTCCCATTTTCCAGGTAGAAAACTGAGAGGTTCAGTGATTGCTCAAGGTCACACAGCAATTGGCAGAGGTAAGCTTCAAAACCAGGACACCTGGTGAGGGATGCCTCCTCCTTCTCCAGTATGTTATCCTGCCTCCCCATGAAATCTGGAGAAACTATGGATGCTGGATGGTGCGGAACAGATGCAAGGAGCTAAGGAGAAATGACCTGGCCCCATTCACGCCGTTAAAGTCCAGTGAGTTATTCGTAGCCATTCTTCAAGTGCATGATACAGTTAGTGTTGGGTATTTTTAAATGGCTATTCAGGCCATCAAGAGGAAGGGTTGAAAGCGGATAGGAGTGAAGCCATGACAGTCAAATAGACAGAGGATGACCAGAGCCTTGCCAAGAAGCAGTCTCGATCCGACATGAGACACCGAAAGGACGGAGCGCTTCAGCCAGACTGCTCCTCTGTACTGACTCCCCCCTCAGGGATTCGGGCTGTTCCTCCTGCTCCCAGAATGGTGCACAGGGAGGAAAGGAGCCAAAGGATGAAACAGCAGTCACAGGAGCTTGTCCAGGGGCTGGCATCAGCCCCACCGGGGCTGAGGGTCTGTGTTCTGCCAGGGGCATTGACTCATCATCAGGCCATCTCCATGACTGCCCGGCCAGCTAACCCACAGCTCAGGGATGCTGACGTGGTGCCCTGGGTGCTTACTTCCTAGGTTCTCTTCCTGGGGCAAAATCTTACTCTGGATGAATATAAATTCACGTCTGGGTTCAAGAGTCGTCCAAGGGAATAATTAAATACACACACTCCACAACCCAAGGGCAGGCTGAGCAAGGCCAGAGAGCCCTACTGGGTGAAACGCAAAGTGGGACGCGCCTGCCCCACCGAAGGGGGAAGAGCTGGTGGGGAAAATACCTCCAGTGGCTGCTGTGAGCTCAGTCCGGCGGACGAAACCAAGGTATCCTGTCCGAGCCCAGAGCGTCTGAGCAGCATCCCCAAAGCTGAGGCGAGTGTTGAAATGATCAGCTTGAAGAGTCTCACTATCGTAGATGGTGTAATAGCCACTGGCCGTATGGGGACTGTTCACCCAAATCTACAAGAAAAGGGCAGTGGCCACATTTTACCAGGAACATACGACTGTATCAATTCAATTCTCTTGGGACTGATTATTATGGTTTTTGAATCTCATTTTTATATTAACACAACTGAACAGTAAAGGCAGCTGACATTTATCAAGTGTTTACTGTCTGCTGAACAGTGAGGTAAGTACTTTATATACCTAATCTCCATCAATCCTGACATATATGACATGACAATATAGTTTGTACTATTGTTATTCCCTTTTTATAGATGAAAAACAAGGAGTTGGGGCCGGCCCAGTGGCATAGTGGTTCAGTTCAGGCACTCTGCTTCAGCAGCCCAGGCTTTGTGGGTTTGGATCCCTGGAGCAGACCTACACACCACTCATCAAGCCATGCCATGGCAGCATCCCACATAGGAAATAGAGGAAGACTGGCACAGATGTGAGCTCAGAGACAATCTTCCTCAAGCAAAAAGAGGAAGACTGGCAACAGACGTTAGCTCAGGGCCAGACTTCCTCACCAAAAAAACAAAAAACAAAAAACACCAAGGAGTTAAGTAGCTCACCTAAGATACAGAAACTAGGAGATTCATACCCAAGCCTGTGTGGATGCAGAGGCCATGCTCCTAGCCACCACGCCACATGGCCTCCCTGGCTCATTTCTCAGCCTCTTTCCGAGTTCCACAAATGCATCAGGGGGTTACTTCTGTGCTTCTGAAACTAAGGTATAAAGCCCCCAGGAAAACACTACAGGGTATTTGAAACAATGGTAATCATACTAGTGTTTATTGAGATCGCATATGACAGGCACTGTTCTATGTACATTACAGATACAGGTACCAATACCGTCAACTGTCATACAGTTCTACTGGGAGGGCGAGGTAGCTGCAATTATTATTATGGATGAGGAAACCGAGGCCCGGAGAGGTTAAGTAACTTGCCCAATATCGAGAAGCTGGTACCCAGCAGAGCCCAGATCAGCTGGCCCCTGCACCTACAACACGCCTCCCCACAAGCTACAGGATGAAACATCAGTGTCTCTTAAAGATCTGGGGGAAGAAAAGCTAAGTCTCTCAAAATATATTTATACTAATACAAAAATGGATACATTTTGGAATAGAATATAAAATTTGCATGAATTTAAAAACTCTTTGATTTGTGGCTCTTTCAGTGCCAGCCCTCAACAGGCGCAACAGGTGGGACTGGCCCTTGTTCCTTTCCAGCTCAGGGAGCGTCAGTGGGCCATCGGACTAGTTCTAGTTTGGATGCCTAAATCGCCTCGTGAGCCTGGTCTCATCTGCCCCTTCTGCCCATTTCAGTCTCGAGCCTTACGGAGACAGACTAAAACTCTTTTGGAGGATGAAAATTCACCATGAGGGAAGAGCCAAAGCCACGGTTTCACTGACATCGTGAGTGTGAGCCCCACAGTCTTCCACTGCTGACTCTTCAGAGCAAAGGTGAAAACGGTACCTACCTCTCCAAGGTGAGAGTCTCCCACGGGTCCTTTGGTCTCGGGATTAACAATAACCACTTTCACTCCAGGCAGGATCTAAGAATCAAAGGGAAAGCACAAAGACTGGGTTCAATGAATCTAACGACCTCTAGGAAATGCACTGACCTGTTCCCCCTCCCCCGTGAGGTGGGCGAGTGCACGCAGGGCAGGAGCTAAGGAGTGGCACCCTCTGGACGGTCCTCAGTGGAGACCAGAAGTCTAAGATTCATCCTCAAAAATACACCAGGGAACCAACCAGGCTAGCACCTCCTCAAAGGGATGAGAAAGTGCAGACCAGAACCATGACGGTAAGAACCTGTAGAAGAACTTAACCACGTAACGGCCTTTCTGCATGATCTGTCTTGCTCACTGCAGTGACGACAGTAAAGCCGCTTAAGGCAGAACGGGCAGCAGGGAGGGATGGCCTGAGACCTGGCTCCAGTCTAGGGCCAGTGCAGGAGTGAGAGGGGCTCGAAGAGTAAGAGGACGGAGGCAGCTCTCAGGAGAACGGAAGGCCATCACAGGCCTGCGAGCTCCCTCAAGAGGGCAAAGCAAGAAACAGGTGCTGGCTGAGAAAATGGCTCAGGGTCTCTGGTTACCTGTATTCTGTCCCTTAAACCTCCCATTTTATCTTGGGTTTCTAGAGCATGCAGTTACTTGAGAAGCCTCACAATGATTACCTGGGCTCATGCATATGAAACCTGAACGAAGGAAGAGAAAAGACCCTTCCCACTGTCTGGGCCACGCACTGCAGCAAACCTCCCGAGGGGCCCAGCCGCTAGCTGAGGCAGATAAGCTCCGACAAGATGATAAGAAGATCAACTGAATTCCACTTCGAAGAGTGAAACTGGAGTTAGCTCCCCAGGGGGCTGATCTGCTACTGGCCATGTTAGGCAGGATCCCTCCTGTCCTTCCCAGTTTTCTCCTGTGCTTTTCAGAATGACTGGAAGGGATGCTGAGGCATCATCATCATCTCTTCAAAACGATGAGAACCTTGATAGCTTAGCTGACGTTCTATCACCCTTAGTAAATTGTTCAAAACTGCTACAGACTGAACGTTGTGTCCCCCCCAAATTCAGTTGTTGAAACCTAATCCCCAGTGTGACACTATTAGGAGGTGAGGCCTTTGGAAGGTGGCTAGGTGATGAGGGCGGAGCCTCATGAATGGGGTTAATGCCCTCATGAAAGAGGCCCGGAGATTTTCCTTGCCCTTCGGCCATGACAGGACACAGCGATAAGCCATCTGTGAACCAGAAATCCCTCACCAGAATCTCCTGGCACCTTGATCTGGGACTTCCCAGCCTCCAGAACTGTGAGAGATGTTTCTGTTGTTTATAAGCACCCAGCCTACAGTATTCTGTTACAGGGCCTGAACGGACTAAGACAATAACTAACTCTCTCCTTCAACACTTTCAAGCCTCATCCTAATCTAAGAAATCTTATCCCCATAGACAATTACTCTCGAGTATCCTACTCTCTTCCGCATTTTCTGTTTCAGCTTTAAATACGTGTATGTCTTCCCTGATCTTAAACCACATCCCCCTGACACCCTATTTTTCTCCTTGTATCATTTATACAGATAGAATTGGCTCTTTTTAAGTGTCGTTCATCTCTCCCCCTTGAATATAACAAACGTTGAATTTGCTGCTTTGTCAAATAAGACTAACACATCAGCTGGATTTTTTAAAAAATTTCTGGAAATTAAGAAAGTTCAAATCTAGTATTCTTCTTGTCTATGTACCTATATGAATTTGAAAATACTGGCTAAGTTGAAACTGTTGAATTATCTCCAGATTTCAATTAAGTCTTGCCCTGGGTGCTAATACATTATATTGCTTCAGTTTTCTTTAAAATGAACCGCTTCTCCCCAAAGACCACCTTCCCAATGGTTAACAGAACAAATTACCTTTCCAGACTCTGAGAGGAGCAAACTCTGGGGGGCACCCCGTTCCACCAGTCGAACCCTGCAGGAGAACAATATTTACTATACAGAAGCCTTTTAAAAACTATTGCACCATGTCTGCCACAGCTACGCACTGCCTTCCCAGGACCTCTGATTTGTCCCTCCTCCTCACGCTACAGCGGAGATTCTCAAACTCGGCATTACTGACATTTTGGGTCAGATAATGTTTTGTTATAATTTTTTGTGAGGGGCTGTCCTGTGCCTTGTAGGACGTTTAGCAACATCCCAGGCCTGTACCCACTAGATGTCAGTAGCAATCCCCTTGTGGTGACAACCAAAAATCTCTCTAGACTTGTCAGATGTCCTCTGGAGGGCAAAATCCCCCCAGGCTGAGAAGCCTTGCACTGGAGATGCTCTACTTGCGCGGGCGGGGCCAGCCCTGGGGCACAGCAGCAACACAGCCCAAGGCAGTGGGACCAGGAAGAGGTCCTGGAGCCCTCGGGCCAGGTGTTCACCTTGGAAGCTGAGGAGGAGGAAGGCTGTTCTCCTGGGGTTCAGACAAAGCGCCGTTTCGGAAACCCTCCGCAGCCTCATTTATCTTGTCTGTCCCAGCTTTTATTTTTAAACTCCCACAGGAAAGAGTCTATCCATTTTAGTTTAATTTATATCAAATGTCACAAAGTACCTTTACACAGGCAGGAACTAAGTATTACATTTTAATATTAAAGAACAGTGCAGCAACTGTGAGAGTTAAAGCTTTCTTCTTACAAATGTAAATCTTATCAGGTATTAACAATGAAAACAAACCCTTCCCTCTTCCCACCCGCCCTGGGAGATGAGGGAGAGGCTGGCCTTCTCGAGGCTCAGAGGTCTTAGGCTTCGGAACTCTAACAGAGAACGAGCATAATAAATCCACTGTACCTGTCATGTCTTAGTGATTTCAGATCTACATACACAGTAGTTGGATCAGGCCCTGAGGTTCCCTAAAGAAAAATAAATCAATGCATTGTTTATTTAAAATTTAAATGGATTATATTTCCATATTTTACATTTTCAAATCAAGAAATAGATAACTGAGCCATACACATGAAAAACCCAAACTCTATTCAGAAAGCTCGCCCTCTCTTCAACCAGATGAGGCGGGGTTGCAGTCAACGCCTGAAAGAGACTCGGTGGCCTGGCTTTATCCTCATGTTTCTTCCCTTTCCTTCCTGGGGAGGGTGGGCCAGAGGCTGCTCACAAGGACTAGAGCAGCACCGAAAGGCTCCCAGGCTGAGGAGGGTCCTCATCCCAGGACTCAAAGCAGGGATGAGACAGGCCAGCATCCACGGGAGTTTCAAAGCCAGCACTGGCCTAAGCTGACAGCAAGGGGCCCAGGAGGGGGCTCCAAGGGTAAAGCATCATGATGCTAATTCAAAGTCCCTTGACCAGTCACAGAGGCCCTGAGAGCATCCCCCATGTGTGCCACCTTTCACTCCCACTCTTGGCCATGCCTGTATTTACCTTATTAGCCTCCAAGCTACATAAGATCAGACTCAGTTTTCTGTTATTTCAGTTCCTTTTTTGTTATTTACCCACCAAGAATAACATAGCAAAGTTGCCATCTGGCTGGAGAAAAAGAATACAGGCTTATTTGTGCTTCCTTTGCAAAAAAACTTATAAAATATAGAGGAGTCAGAAAAACAGAAGCTAAGTTATATAAATAAAATTCTAATAGGACTCAGGAATCTTCTTGATTCATCGTCATGGACCATAAAACGACTATTAAGAGTAAACATTTACATTGGTGTCAACTGCTGGGCATAGCTCCCAGCACGTGGCACCTAGTAACTCAGTGATTCTACAGAATGACCCTGTGAAGGATGATACTATTATCTTCACCTTACAGATGAGCAAAATGAGGCCCAGCAAGTCCAAATAAAAAGCCCACAGTCCCACAGGCAGTAAGTGGAACCACGGCTCACACCAAGCAGCCAGGCTTCGCAGCCTCTGCTCTGGAGCACCACACATTCCTCCTCCATTTGTCACCACGCGAGATTTCATGACAGTCACCTGTAAACATATCGCTACATTGACTCTTGATCCAAAAGTGGTGCTGACCGCCCGAGGGGACAGACCGATGTCTTTAAAGAGCTTGGAGAAGGACAGCTGGAGGGCAATGCGGGGCCGCTCCTCGGCCACCACCACACACGTCCGGATGCAGGAGAGGTTGATTCCCCTGGTCTGTAAGACACCAGGCACAGGAGCTGAAGTTAGTGGGGTCACAAAAGACCTGAAGAGGTAGGGCCATTGCTCTGTCTTCAGTCAGGAAAACCCAAGGAACTGTGTATTCTCACCTCAGACATCCAGAGAAACGACAAAAGTTTTCAGAGGGAAAACACCAAGGCATTCCACTAAAATTACTACCCACTGGTAAATGTGCTCATTCTCTATTTCTTTCCTCTTTCATCTGAAAATCTTAACTTCTTCAGCAATCCACTTTTATCCCTCCCCATTTCTGTACCTTAGATTTCCCCCATTTCAAAATGGAGAGATGGGACTGAGAGAAAAAGAAATCTAGCTCCCTGGAGATTGAATCTCGTCTCATTTTTTCCTTCTTAAGGTCATATTTCTCTATTACTGAAAATTCAGTGTTTTCTGAGTTTCTCCAATGTCAGTCAGACACATGATCACTGAAAACACACATGAACGAGCTGCCCTAATCTCTGGGGCAGGCCTCAATCTCTAACATTTCTAAGGTTGCAAATTCCACTGGAAAAACGCTATTGGAGGTCACAGTTCCTTTTCGTCTTCACATAAAGTCATTTTCATTCAAGCCTCCCAAACAGCTCTACCTTCTCCTCCACAAAGTAAGACTCAGATGAAAGACTCAACGAGTGCAACAAATTAGAAAGTGGAAGAGAGAAACTTCCTGAGGTTTACAAAACACCTGTCTGATGGGCTAAAAAAAAAAAGCAGGCAGATATATCTCTCAACCCTACATGGATACCACCAGGCCTGGCCTCCTCCCGTAAAACCTCTCAGGACTGGCTCCTTGTTGTAGCTTCTTACCTTTAGCACCTCCACCTGGTTTCCAAGCCCTTTGGTGCAGAGCTCCATCACCGAATAGGAGCAGAAAGTATCCCTTATTTTGTACTGGTTGACAGTGGAGAGCCAGAGGAAAAGGTTGTTTTCTAACTCCATAGGAGGAATTAAGATGGACTGGTGACCTGAATAGACACTGCAATAAGAAAGGCAGGAGCTGATATTGTCAATTCATCCTGGATGACCTAATGTTTTAGAACACCATCAATTCAAACATTTACTGAGCACAAAGGACAGTGTGGGGTCATATTAGATATAAAGGTCTAAGAATCAGCCTTGTTCCTACGCAACTCACAAACACAGTAACTATAAAACAAGGCAGACTGCTATGCACAGGAAATGACATGGGCATAAAGGACATTAGGATCACAGAATAAAGAGCAAGTCATTCAAACTGGGGAAGCTAGGGCGGAGGTGTTTCACCAAGTAGGTGTCACTTGAGCCGGGGCTTGAAGAATGAGCAGGAATTTACAGTGGCTGGTAGAAGTGGGGATGGTGATGAGAGCATTCCAGGCAGAGGAACAGCATGTGCAAAGGCATGGAGGTATAAAAGTACATGGCATGTTTAAGGTCGTCAGAAACACTATCCCAGTATGAAATACTAGGGCAAGGACGCATGAGGGGTGGTGGGAAATGAGGCCAGAAGGGTTGAGCCAAACTGTGAAAGGGCTTAACTATTGTAGAAAGGAGTTAAGACTCTACCCAACAGGCAGTTATTGCAGCTTTAAGTTGGGGCAAAACTAGCAACAAGGAGGAGGGATCAGAGACATGAGACACTGAAGGCTGAGAGACAGGAGAGGCTGTAATAATCCAGGTGAGAACTGATCAGGGCTTGAACCCCGACAGTGCAGCCAGAATAAAAAGCAAGGAATGGCAGGGTCACATATCGTGCGTGTAAGCTATAGCCATGAATCCTCAACTTCTTAAACGTGAGTACAGATCAGAATCACCAGAAGCCTAAGCATCCTGTATTTAAAAAATAGTGGAATTGTGGTCTCCACCTTTGGAGATCTAAGTTAGTAACCGTGGGGAAGGCCCATTAATTTGTTTTTTTTAAAGACCCCTAGGTGATTCTTATGTATAGACAGATTTAGGAACAACTGAGACAGAGGACACGACATTTAATTGGATGTGAGACATAAAGATATAGAAGTCGAAGATAACACCCAAGTTCCTAGTTTGGGCCCCAGGGTAGATGATCCCCTCCCAGCAAGGATGGGGACACAGAAAGAGGATGTTGAGTTGCAGGCATCTGTGAAGCATCCATGGAGATGTCCACTGATGTTTCAGATGTAGGTCTGAGATAAGGTTCCCTGGGCAGACTGTGGAAGGACTGGGGACCTGCTGGAAACAATCTGGCTGGGACAGACGTGCTACTTTCTAGCCACATGCTGTCGTCCCATCTTGTTATATTCCTTCCTGCCAAGCCTCGGGGGTGCGTTCTGGCTGTCAAAGCATGACATATTTCACCCAAGTGTCATCCTTCTACTTGGCTCTGCTTCTAAAATAAGGATTACAGGATGGAGCAGAGAGCAGGCAATAAGATCACTGACCTTTTGTATGAGGCATAAAACTAACAGGAAAAAAAGAGAATACAAATAAAACTAGATGAACATCAGAGACACTTTAGGTGTACAAATTCTGGAAACATCAGCATTTTATTGAAACTTTACCAAATTAAGGGAGCAAAGGGAAGGATGAGATGGTTATGGCCCCAAAGACGTCCCCATGCATTCTGTTTGTTTGCCTTTCCGTTCCTACCTGCAGAGACACCAGAGTGCAAAGCCAAGTCCACAGTAAGGGTCAAGGCAGATGGCTATCTGCCGAGAAGAATATAACTCACACTGGAGCTTGATGGCTCTACAAAGAGCATTGACCGCACAGTGGGACATCTGGAAAGTGAGGAACAGGGAACAGGATGGAACTGGCAGGCCACAGAAAAACAGCTCTAACGATAGTTTGGGGAAGTTCTGGTTCCCCCCCAACTCCTCAATATCATGTGCATTTTTCATTGCTTCAAAAAGCTTAATCTAAGTCTAACTTAAGGTAACATATTTCTGTTCATTAGTCCATTCTGAGTTTCATGAAATACGAATCTGTGATTTCACACTGGCTTTCACTGTAACTCTTACTATCTGTTAGCCTCAGTGCTGGGTTCAGAACACTGCATAACACAAATTCCCGGGGATAACTTACTCCGGAAGAGCCAGTGCTTTTATTTAAATATAGCAGGGACCCTTGATCCTCCGCCTACTGGTCACTGGTACAACCATTTGGCCTCTCCATCTGAAGTCCCTGGGGGCATGGTCATCTCTATTTTCTGCAGACCTGGCATTTTACCAGCACCCAGCGAGGGAGCGAATATGCCCAGACTACTCTACCTTCACTCCTGTAAGCATGCCAGTTGTGGAGACACTGAAATCAAGATAAGCCAACATCTCAGGAGTGGGCGGTTTATACAGCTGAGGTAACCTTTTCCTGGGTAAATCATCTGCAACGAAAAGAAAACTCTGATGTCAATCAGACATGCTGGAACATGAAAACCATTGCTCTTCAACTGGTTTTCTGTGGCTTTGCTGTGGCCAAATTTAGCTCCTGGGATTTGCTAAAGCTTAAAGCTTCTCATGCTTAACCAAGCAGCTCACATGTCACTCCTAGAGGTGGGACACTCGACAGTGTAAGCAAGCGAATCTACATCAGGTAAACATAGTTACTGGAAGGTTAGTGAGGGTATTATAACACAGTAGTTGAAAATACGAAGGAAGCTGACTGCTGGTGTTCCAATCCCAGCTCTGCCATTGATCACAGATGTGACCTTGGAGGTATTTAACGTCTACGTGTCGGTTCCCTCATCTCTAAAATGGTAATGATAGGGGCCTGCCTGCTGGCACAGCGGTTAAGTGCGCACGTTCTGCTTCAGCAGCCGGGGTTCGCCAGATCGGATCCCGGGTGCAGACATGGCACCGCTTGGCATGCCATGCTGTGGTAGGCGTCCCACATATAAAGCAGAGGACGATGGGCATGGATGTTAGCTCAGGGCCAGCCTTCCTCAGCAAAAAGAGGAGGACTGGGAGCAGTTAGCTTAGGGCTAATCTTCCTCAACAACAACAACAAAAAAATTAAATGGTAATAATAGCTTCCCTCATAGAACTGGTGGAAAGTTAATGCACATAAAGCACTTTTAAAACAACTGACTAAACACTCAAAAAGTTTTAGTAGCTGTTATCATGCTGGTTTCCAGTTAAAGTTCATTAATTACACTTTAGTGCATGTTATATTAAAATGGACTGCTTTAAACGTTGTTTTTCTCAAAGTTAACATGGCAGATTTTTAAGAATGATAATCTAGAATTAGGAATTATTTCCTTTGATCATTTATTTATATACCTCTCCCTTCCCCCCAAATTTGCTTCATAAATGTGTCAAAACCAAGAATGTCAAGGATGTCTCTGGCCCAACCATGCCTCCTCAATGACTGCTTTGGCTTTCTGGATCAAGAAACAATTCTGCCTCTGGCTTTTAAATCTATCACTGGGCACCCACCTCTGCTTAAACTAAAGACTTCCTCTGTCACTTTCAACTCACCTTTGTGTCGGGCAGGCTCACTCATGTGCCTAAAGTAACCTTCCTATTGTCTGCATCACAGCCCATTTCAGGTCTTGAAATGTGACCACGTCCAATAACCACAGCAGATCTGCATCACTAACACCAGCACGGCCCATCTGCGTGACATATTCTACACGACTGTGCGTATGTCCCTCAGTAACAAACGCAAAAAGATCTAGTTCAGCATCTGGCACACAATAACCACAAATCCACGTCATCCCTACATTTAAACCATATAAACGCTCCTGAGGTGGACACCATGTGGTACTTACTGAAACAGGGAGGGAGGAAACTAATGGCTAACGCGCTTGGAATGGAGCCAAACTGGCTGGGCCTGAACTTCAGTTCTGCTACTGACTTAACCTCCCTGTGCCTCAGTTTTCTTATCTGTAAAATGAGGACAAAAACAGCCCCCATCTAAGAGGGTTGGTATAAGGATAAATTAGGTAACACATGTGAGACTCCTGGCAGGCTGTAGGACTCAATAAAAGGCGCTATGATGACGATGATGACGTGCAAGGTGTCCTACGTTATGCTGTTTAACATTCACGACCCCATGAAGTAGTTATTACAGCCCCACTGGTTAGACAGTTCTGCCCAAGTGAGCAGGGCTACTGAGAGAGTAACAGGGTATCAGGATTCAAACCCCACCTGCCTGACTCCAAGCGCACCCTCTGCCCTACACTACCACTCTCCAGAGAGCCCCGGGGCTCACCCCTTCTTTACTGCGCATACCGTCTAAATTGGTGTCCCCAGGGGATTGGTTCCAGGACCCCTGAGACCAAAATCCACAGATGCTCAAATCCCTTAGTCGACCCTCCGTATCTGCGGACGCAGAGCCCACGGGTCCAGAGGGCTGACAGTATGCTGCATTCGATATTCTCGATAAATGTGAGAGGCAGGCAAGGGTTGGGGCTATTGTAGGAAGGGGTGATCTCGGACAAGGTTATACAGAAAGCAAGTACTGAAGCTCGAGCTAGAACCAGGTCTGCCGGTTCCTAGTCTAACGCTGTTTCGAGTACATCACATCTAGAAGTCAAGGATCAGGTCTTCTCAATATTTTATATGGCCCTATATGCTCATGGTCACATCCAGCATAAAAACCTAAGCACCCTTTGACAATGCCAAGAGTAACAGCAAGACACTTTCTGTTTCAAGAGTCCTTAGCACACTGTGATCTGCTTCTTCGGGTCTGGCTGTGGCAGTTTCCAATGCTTGGGTAACACAAGCTGACTGAGCATTAAGTTTGCCTCCGTCTTAGCAGGCGGAAAGTACTGCGATGTAAGAGCTGTGTAAACCCCTTTGGCGTGAGAACCTAGGAAATCTCAGAGGGAATGCTCTTGTCCCTCAACAGCTCTGGAGGAATCTGCCTCACCTGTGTCAATGATGGTTGGCCACGTCTTCACGTCCACAGCTGCCGCCGCCTCTCGGGATCTCAATAGCCTCATTAGGGTCTGCGTGGTGAGAATGCAGACTGCTTTGCTGACCTAGAAAACAAATGGACAGAAATAAGCACAGAAAGGCTTAGCCCCCATGTCGCACCATAGGCTCTGGCTGCTGCTAAAAGCAATTTGCACACCACACCAGGCAGGGCACGATCAGTGTTTCAAAGAACACATGTAGGACAATGGAGGTTGGTGTTTGCCCTCACATTTGTCCTCTGGAAATGTGTAACACTTGACCGTCTCAAAATGACGGAATTGTTCACAACGCAAGTTATTGTTTACAACAGTGACACTCAAATATTCCATGGTTATAATCTCAGTATAAATCCCACAATCTTTTGATTTCACGAAGGTCATAATAAAATAAAAACATGGATCTTTAGTGCTCCGGGAATGAGAAGAGCCAGCCCATCTCTGAAGGGTCAGCGTTTCAACAGTCTGGCGAACAGTGAAGCTCTCTAGACCTAGAGCAGACCCTGAATCCGGGGGGCGCCGGGCTCTCACAGAGGCTCGGCTTTCCTGCTTGCTTACACATGGAAATGCAAAGGCACCGACTTCCCCCATAAACTGTCAGCGAAGGGAACTTCCCTCCCTCCTGCTCTGGCTCACCCTGCAGAATATGACAGGAGCATCCTGCTGAATTGAACTTGATGATAAAATCATCTGCGGCGAACACAGTTTTATTAGGCGCAGGCTCCAGTTGCTCACAGAGAGCATCAGTTCTTAGAGGAACAAATGTCACATAAATTGCAATTTTGTAACTCTTTGCTTTAAAGTACATTAGGATATGATGCAATACAGTTTTACCTTATTTTCTTCAATTCTCATATCCTGTAGAAACTTCTACCACCTCTACAGCAAGATTTTAATGTTCGCCTCTTTCAAGTTTGTGATAAATGCACACAATTCTCTCACCAATAACCATGTTCCCTCACTGAATAATGCTGGTCACTTTCATCAGACTAAGGAAAAGGAGGTCGTTTTCAGGAGACAGATTTGGCTTCCTGACTCAACAAAACTGAAACACTAGTAAGGATCCTCGGTTGTCTGAATCTGGACTTTATGGGATGAGGACAAGGCAAGACCCACTCGGTACTCACATCCACAATCATGCGGACCGTGGGCAGCGTGGCAGTTAGGTTCTGGGCGTGAGGAGGCCGCACGGTCACAGGTATGCACCCTGCATACAGGCAGCCGTAGAACGCAGCGATCAACTCGATGCCTGCAAGACAGAATCACTTAGCTGCCTGGCAGCACTGAGAAACTAAAAGGCAGATCTTCCAAACCAGTTTATTAAACCACTTGCCAGATGGGTATTTAGACCATAATTTAGCAGAGACCCTAGCAGAAGTTTTTTAAGTTAAGAAGGAATAGAAGGTAAAGAAGGAAGCATATAAAACAACTTAAAAAAAGATAGAGAAGCCAAGAATAAGTAACCAGAAACAAAGTCAGAAGTCAAGAAAGCTCTTGAAAAAGGTATTTCGATATCATTATTTGATATTACTGAGGAGAAATCAGAGATGCTGAACTGGGGAAATAAAAGAATGGGGAAAGGAGAGATGGAGAACCCCTGAGTTTCCTGTAAATAGTTAGAAGGCTGCTAAGTGAAGAGCAATTAGACTTCTGAGAAGTCGCTTCGTCAGAGGGTGCAAGTTTTAGGGAGGTAAAATGTGACTCAATACGAAGAAGACTCTGCAATGTCAGGACCGGGAGGGTGGCCTGCACCAGGCAGAGCTCTGCCCCATCACCACGTCACTGACTGGTGGATGGAAGGCCATCTCACAGGAACACCGTAGGAGGATTCTTTTACCAGATAACCTTCTGAGGAATCCTAGTATCAGTGTAAATAAAATAGCATAGTAAGAATCACAGAGCAAAATGAAGCAAGGGAGATAAGAGACCAAAAAAAGGTGGATGTATGAGTGGGTTAGCTGGCAGAAGAATAAAGAAAGGGACAACTCAGATATTTTACCTAAAATTTTGAATATTTACATCAAACTACCATCAAATAATTCTGAGTCCCTCTTAGTGTGAAGAGAGGGTTGTTGATTTAAATTAGAGCATGGAAGATAAAAAGCAGCATTTGAGGAATACCAAACATTAATCATGGTATGAAGAACGTGAGGTCAAAGAGTTCATGCCCAACAGGCCTTTGGAAACTAGATGAAATGGTCTCATTCCTGAACACTCCTAGAAACAAAGCGTTTCTTTTGAGGGTTTCCACAAGTCAGACGTCCTCATTCATTCATTCCTATTTACCACAGTGCCAGGCACTAAGCTAGGCAGTGGAAATGCAAGAGTAAATACAACATCGTGCTGCCCAACGCTGGGCAGGGGGCGGGGTGGCCGGGTTTACACCTTGGCCCACGCGCACAGGCTCCTGGAGGCTGTGAGTTCCTGTCCTCTTACAGCTTGTAGTCTAGAAATGGAGCGCAAGCCTAGTCTACCAGCCCAACACTCACCAGGTGGATAGAGCAACACCACGTTGTCTCCTGCATTTAGATGTCCCTTATCACCAAGAACAGACGCAATCCTCTCTGCTCGCTTATGCAGCTGCAGGCAGCTGGCTGTGCACACAGGAGTGCCCTTGAAACAGAAGCGGATCAAAGCTCAGTAAGGAAATAAAACAGTAACAGATTAACACAATTCCACACTATATGAAAGGCTTGTGCCTTGGGAGATTATCTTTAGCAAGTTATAGATTCAGTGAAAATTCTGCCAGTACCAAAAGACAAGTGTGGGATCCCTTTTCTCTTTCAATGTCTGAAGGTACTCAGTGAATAGCAACATTAACTTAAATCAAACATGTATTTACAGCCTGTCTCATTTAAGGTAGTTTTAAAAATACGTAAGAACTTTTTGGGGACTGGCCCGTGGCCGAGTGGTTAAGTTCGTCTGCTCCACTTCGGTGGCCCCGGGTTTCGCTGGTTTGGATCCTGGGCGCAGACGTGGCACCACTCATCAGGCCATCGTGAGGTGGCGTCCCCCATACCAGAACTAGAAGGACCCACAACTAAAATGTACAACTATGTAGTGGGGAGATTTGGGGAAAAAAAGCAGAAGAAAAAAAAAAGAAGATTGGCAACAGTTGTTAGCTCAGATGCCAATCTTTAAAAAAAAAAATACATAGCGAATTTTTTATTTAAATGACGAAATAAGAGGGGAGGAAAAATAAAGGAAATAAAAGCCGATGAGGGCAGGAGTGAGGTCAGGACAATACACACTGGGTATGTGGGCTCCTACATTTGTTGTGCATGAAACACAAGTTTAGCTCTGAGTTTCCTAAGAAGAAAGATGGAAACAAAAACAGTCACAATGAATCACAGTCCATCAGCAGATTAGAAGGCGGCCAACTCTCCCTGATCCTGAGAATAAGTTCTCTGGCGGGTCTTCATAACTATCCTTACTGTCGATTCAAGTCTCACTGAGCTAGGCTTTTTGAACCCGTTCCCTTGTGAAACATAACACACCAACGGGAAAGTGCATAAAATATGAAGGAAGAGCTTAATGAAAAATTATACAGCAAGCATCTGCGTAAGACCCAGCAAGACGCGAGAAAGACCACTGACAGCAGCTCAGAAGCACCCCCTGGGGCCCGCCGGGCCAGCCTTCTCTCTCCCTCCATAGGTCCCTACTGTCTTAATGTTAACTGCTGATTTCTTTTATTTAAAATATTTTTACCACCCATGAAATATTTGATTTTATATAACTGGAACTGTACTGTACATATTTTTGTGTTTTGCTTCCTTCTCTCAACATTATCTTGAGACAGCGCTGCTGCAGGGCACAGGTGTAGTTCATTTTCGTTGCTGTATTTAATCGTATGAACATACAACAATTTATTCATCCATTCTACTGCTGATGGACACTTACTCTTGTACATGTATCCTGGTGCATAAATATACGAGTTTTGGTTGGGCTTAGACCTAGAAATGGCATTGCTGGGTCATTGCATATGCTTATCTTCAACTTTACTGGATAACGCCAAATTGTTCTTTATCATGCCAATACCACAATGTCTTAATTATTGCAACTTTATAACTCAAAAAAAAACCCCTCACAATATAAAGTTTTACCGAGCTGTTTCTTTTACAAATAACTTTTTTATTTCATTAATATAAAATTGTACAAGTTCATTATAGAAAATTTGGACAATATAAATAAATATAAGATGTAACCACTATTAACATTTCAGTGTATATTTTCTTATTTTTTAAAAAATGGGTATATTTATACATAAATTCACATGCAACATTAAAAAGAAAGCTATCTTATTGTACTATATTCCAGAAGCTGTGTAGTGCATTGGTTAAGAATGTGGGTTCTTAAGCCAGTTTGGGTTCAAATGAAAGAGCTAATTTCTTAGTCTTCCCTCTTACTAGCCCTGCGACCTCAGGCAAGTCATTTTATGTCTCTGTGCCTCATTTTCCTCAATCCTAAAATGAACTATAACATAGAAAGCACCCAGAATAAGGTCTTCAGTAAGTAATCCAATATTTATTGAAGTTTATGTCCTACTTTTTCTGCTTATATATTATGAATATTTTCTGGGTCATCAAATATTTTTCTATATCATTGTTTTGAAAGGCTGCATTGTATTTCATCATGTTTATATGCCATAATTTACTCAGTCAATTGTCTGTTGTTGAACACTGAGGTTACAACAGGAAAATGAATATCCTGTTGGCTAAAGGCAGGGTTAAACTCATAGGGCCATTTCTTACACCATTCCTCATTTTGGTCCACGGTACAGCAGCAAACTAAACTTCAGGAAAAACAATTATCTGAGCCTGAGAGAACAGTGATGTATGGTTACTAAGCTTTCTAGAGGTCTGGGCTAATCCGAGGTAAAATGTTAGAATATGCAGAAGAATAAATGGACTACATGTCCTTTCGTCCTCCATATATGTTATTTCCCTAACCAAGGAGCAAATTTGAATTTATGCTCGCTAACAAATATCTGGAGTATGGATTTCACAGGGCTCTAATTTTAACTATAAGTGGAGTAGGGAGCAAGCTGGACTGACATCTTCTTGCTGAAATGCAAGGACCCTAACCGATTCATGGCTTGAAGAGAAGCCCACTTCACGCAGAAGTGGAGCAAGAAGTCCCAAAATTTTGTACCACAGAGCAATGTTTCTTAATATTTTCATTGATTTTTCACTGAGATGCACAGGATATTCCTATCATTAAGTTCTATCATTGTACAAATTCTCAAAGGTCTGTGTGTGTGTGTGTGTGTGTGTGTACATATCAGTATCAGAATCTAAGGGGCTGGGGCAGAAAAGGGCAATTTGGGTAAGTCCTCTAAGAGATTCCAACAAGCCCTCCAGTCTTGCCCCTGCTGGTGAGAAAGACTGTTATATGCCGTGGTCAGAGCTTTTAGCCTCTGACTCAGCCATTAAAACAAACACCTCTCAGCCGACTCCGACAGAATGCACAACTTAAAAAACACAGCATTCTGAGCCAGCCCTGACGGCCTAGTCGTTGAAGTTCGGCATGCTCCACTTTGGCACCCTGGGTTCAGTTGCCGGCATGGAAACACACCACTCATCTGTCAGCCATCCTGTGGCAGCGGCTCACAGAGAAGAACTAGAAGGACTTACAACTAGAACATAGAACTATGTGCTGGGGCTTTGGGGAGAAACAAAAAAAAAGAGAGGAAGATTGGCAACAGGTGTTAGCTCAGGGTGAATCTTTCCCAGCAAAAAAAACCCAAAACCCAAAAACAATAATCTAGTGAACTATCCATCAGAAAGCAGTAGTTAAATGTACTCTTGAATAATTTCCAATTTGTTTTTTATCTGTTAGCAATAAATCATTTAAGTATGTACTAAAAATAAATCTGGATTTTAAAATGTTGATCTAAAGTAATCTTATTCTTGGCATAAATCAAAGAATTAAGAGTCAAATTTGGTATAAAATTACAGGACTTAGTGCATTCCGAGTACTGTAGGTCTGTGTAATTCACTGTGGCCCCCACCGTTCCTAGCAGAACTCCATAAAGACGACTTGACGTAACACGAGAAGAGACAGCACTAAACAGCACCCCAGGAGGCCTCTTTCAACTTCGCAGTGATTGCACAATTTATCCTCGGATGTCAAAACAACGAGAAAACAGTAACTCCTTCCTCAGAATCGGCAATAAAAATTTTCTGATGAAAGAAAGAGATCAAGAGTGCCTAAGACACTCCCACAATATTCAGCTGATTAGAAATACAATTGAATTTTTAATACCTTGGCATTTAACAGCATGAAGAGTACATGGTCAGGAGTTGCCTGGGCTCGCCACTGCAAAATCTCCGCCAGAAACTGGTGCTGAAGTCATAAAGCAGAAAAAAGAATCGGGGTCAGCAACTTTTTAGAAGTTGGACAATGCACCTCCCATCTGTTACCTGAAGTATAAGTTCTGTCCTTGGCTTGTTTGTAAAAATCAATGCTTCTGGAGCACTCACCTTCCTCACCAAATCATTCTCTTCGATTTGCCCGAGATCCCTGCCTGCAGCTTGTGCTATGCGTTTTCCAGCAACCAGATTCCCAACCATCACAGAAGCAGGGCCTACACCTGTAAGTAAAGGCAAAAATCAACTCTCTGAAGATGGTAATTCAAGCTACATATTGCCAAAGCATTTCCAGGCTAACCAAAACTGGATCAAACGTTCATTCAACAACACTGACTGAGCGCTCTCCAGGCACTGGGAACACAGTAGCAAACAAGAAGACAGCTTGTATTCTAGTGGGGAAAGGCAATCAATAAACGCATACAGTTGTCCCTCAGTATCTGCGGGGAATGGTTCCAGGACCGCCCCCCATACCATTATCCACAGATGCTCAAGTCCCTTATGCACAATGGTGTAGTATTTGCATATAACCTATGCACACCCTCTCATATGCTTTAAATCATCTCTAGATTACTTATAATACCTAATAAAATGTAAACGATATGTAAATAGTTATTATATTGTATTCTTTAGGGAATAATGACAAGGAAAGAAAGCCTGTACATGTTCAGTACAGATGCAGCCATTGTTGGCTTTTCCATCCACGTTTGGTTCAATCTGCAGATGCGGAACCCGCAGATACAGAGCGATGACTGTAGAAAAACAAATGATGTCACGTAGCAGGAAGTGCCAGAAAAAAACAAAATAGGACCAGAGGACACAGGGATGGGGGTGGAGAAGGGCAGGTGGGCTCCTGTAGCTTGGGCATAGGGAAGTTTTCACTCTGAGGACAGTGGGTTGCACTGGTTCCCACTGATAAATAATTTCATCTGCTCCAATCACGATACAATCCTAAAAGTGGGCTTAACAGTAGTGAATATCTAGTCTGGAAAGAAATCTGCTATCTACGAGGACTGTGGGTGAGTTCATCAGGAATATCAGAAGGGCTGTACTGAAAGTGAATAATGAAATCCAGATTGTGGGACATTCTGCAAGACAACTAGCCTGGGATCTTCAAAAAGGTCCGTGTCCTGAAGACAAAACAGAGTTGGGAGCTTTTAAATTAAAGGACATGACCACTAAACGCAATGCATGACCTTGAGTGGACAATGGATTTTTAAAAAATCAGCTGTAACAAACAACTGGAGAAATCTGAATACAGACTGTATACTATTAGGTGACATTGTATTAAGGTTACATTTCTTAATTTAAAAAAAAAATTTTGAGGGTGAGGGGCTGGCCCCATGGCTGAGTGGTTAAGTTCGTGCGCTCCGCTTCAGAAGCTCAGGGTTTTGCTGGTTTGAGTCCTGAGTGTGGACATGGCACCGCTCATCAGGCCATGCTGAGGCGGTGTCCCACGTCACAACTCAAAGGACCCACAACTAAAAATACACAACTATGTACCAGGGGGCTTTGGGGAGAAAAAGGAAAAATGAAATCTTTAAAAAAAAAATTTTTTTTTAAATACTGAATTCAGAGGATGTTTTTAAAGATTTTATTTTTTTCCTTTTTCTGCCAAAGCCCCCCAGTGCATAGTTGCGTATTTTTAGTTGTGGGTCCTTTGAGCTGTGGCATGTGGGATGCCGCCTCAGCATGGCCTGATGAGGTGCTATGTCTGCGCCCAGGATCCAAACCAGCGAAACCTTGGGCCGCCGCAGCGGAGTGCGCAAACTTAACCACTCCGCCACAGGGCCCAGCCCCCAAGGTTACATTTCTTAATAGGATAATGGCATTGTGGTTGATTAGGAAAATTTTAGGAGAATGTTTCTGTTCTTCAGAGAGACCTTGCTGAAATGCTTAGGGGTGAAGTGTCATGATGCCTCCAACAATTTACTCTCAAATTGTTCAGTCAAACAAAATGTTAACAGTCGGTGAATCTAGGGCAAGGGTCACGGGTGTTCATTATACAGTTTTCTTTCAACCTTTCCACAGGTTTGATTGACACTTGGGGAAAAAAAAGGGAGACCCCTCCCCCGCTCAAGAAAATCAGTGCTCCGGTGCTGCTGCCTGTCTTCGTGGGCACTTAAAGACTAAGACACAAACTTATCAAACTAGGAAGATGGCTAAAAGATAACACGACTTATCACCAGCTGAGCTTGGAATAATGCTGACACTACACTTGGATTAAGGTTAACTAACTTTTATTGCCAAAATCTGTTGATCAGAAATGTACTGGAACAGCTGGAACAAAATCATTTAAATCACAGAATCACTCTTAAATATTTGAGAAAGCTGCGTAAGGAGTATACAGGAATTCTGTGGCAATTTTTTTGTAAGTGTGAAATTATTTCAAAATAAAAAGTTAAAAAATTTTTTTAAAAACCTCAAAAAGGATAATGTACTCCAACACACTGACCGCTGAACAGTTTTAGTCTACAAAGTGTCTACTGTAATTTTAAGTATAATATGCAAAATTCCTTCCTAAGAAATTGCATAATAAGTTGTAGATATATCATGTTAGAGACAGTCTTTTACAAAGGCAGGGACTCAGTGCACATGACCGTAAGTTGCCCAATCCTGGATTCACACTGTAAAATTAATAAAGGCATGATATTTTAAAAAGGGAATTTTTCAGAGCAGTTTAAAACAACAAAAATAATTCAGCAGCAATTTCTTGCGGTCCTTCTTTGTGCATTTCTTGAGTCTATGGGTCACAGAGAGTGAAAATTGGAAGCAATAACACCTCAGAGGCTAACTGCTCTTTGCTGTACCTGTAAACATGCCTTATTATTTTTCCCACAAAACTCAACTTCCTGTGGCAAAGACCACTAGTTATCAACCCCAATATCCATTCTCTTCTTCCTTAAAAACAGAACCCTTAGTTTTTTGTTGGGCAAATGCCTGGAATAAAGACTATATTCTATGGTGTGGGAGAGTAATATGTAAAGTACTATGTGCAATTTCTAGAAAATATATTTAAAGGAGAAGAGTATTTCCTTCTTTGCCTTCTTCTCCCACCTCCTAGCTGGAATGCAGGAAGGATGGCTCAAGGTCAGGGAGCCTGACTGGACCCTGAGGCAGGATGCCAAAGACGGCTGTGGCAGATTGTGTTATTTTCCTACAACCCTTCCTCTCCTCCGTGTCCTTGCTGTGACTACAGGGGAGGGTACACCTCCCTGCTCGACTGACTTTGGACACGGGCCGACTTGTTTTGGACAATGAAATGTTAGGGGACAAGATACAAACAGAAGCTTTAAATATGCTTGTGTGTTTGGCTTGCCTTCTTGCTTATGCCATCTGCCTTGAGAAAAAAATGACCCAGGTAGTTGCTGGTCCCATGATGAGGAGACACAGGGAACAGTTCTGAACCCAACCTACAGCCTGGAGCCAAGCCAAGCCCAGACGACCCCAGCCAAGCTCAGATCTACATCCCATGAATGAAAAATAAATGCTTCTTATTTCAAGCCACTGAGTTTTAGGGTTATTTGTTATGCAGCATATCTATAACAACAGTTGACTGATGATAAAAACAGAGCAAAAAGATGGGAAGCTGGAACCACAATGACTGAGGAGCTCCCATCCCAGCCCTGGACTGTCTAGCTCTGGACTTCTTTTACCTGAGAGAGAAATAAACCTGTCTCTTGTTTAAGAGGCTGTTATGTTTTTCTGAAACTTGCAGCCAAAACCAGTCCTAACGCATTCCCATTCTTTACACAATAGCTCCAGTAGGCATCTCAACGAGATTTTTGTCATCAGGCTGCCTTGACACCTTTTCCATCTTCCTTTTCCTCTCCTTTCCTTTCTTACCTCACTCCTACCCATCTCAACTTTCCTGTATTCTTTGTAAACGCCGACTTCTCATGCTATCCTCATGTCATCTCCACACCATCTACACCATGATTTTCAAACTGCCATGGTCCGATCCATATGCATCCCGTTAAGATCTGAGCAGGCAATCACAACAGACAGCAAAAAATACAGAATCCAAACCTAATGCTTCCATCAGACAGGTGGCTACCGTGCCTATGGGGGCTCAGGAATAAATCTTTTATACAGGTTTTACCAAATAAAATTGGCTGAAATCTGGTTAGCAAAAGCAATGTTTGAAACACCTACTATGTCTCTAAGCATCTTTCAAGCATCTACTATGACATGAAAAGTTTTGTTAAAAAAACCCTAGATTAAAGGCTATTTAAAACAGTATCTTACTCATATGATGAATATAGGACTTCAGTCTAACAAGATTTGAGATGGAGGAAGATTTCTGTGTTTTATACATCTGTCAGACACTGAAACAGGGAACGTGTTTGAAAATACTTCTTTTTCTACATTTCTTAATTAGTAATGTACAGACTTCTTGATTGTGACTACCCCTTTACAATATTAGCTTCCATAAACTCTTATTTCCATTAGCAGAAACTGATAAATATCATATATAGTTTAGCTCAATGTACATCGTTACTGAGATAAGGTTAGCGGATGAGTTGACGATATCTAGGTAAACAACTGTGATATGGTCTTCAGCCACCAGACCACTGAAGCAACTACTGCAGAGTGCATTAACATTTCAATATCTGATGAAAATTTCCTAGAGAGTCAGAGGCTTACTTTACATTTTATTACTGTACGTCATGTTCACCTTTCAGCAAAAGCTGTCTCACAGAAATATAATTAAATGCCACACTTCTCATTTTTATCTTCTTTTCCCAACATTTGGAGGCTGATGTGCTGATGCACAGTGTGTGTGTGTGTGGATAGTGGGATCTGTAAAGGCCAGATTTTGGCTCTTCTGTGTTTTCAGGCATACAGGAAACAAGGAGCCTCTCATTAATTTCTCATTTAAATTAAAAACATCAACAAAACTGAATGATTTCACATTGGATTGAACAGATATTTTAACATGACTGACTACCAGTTACTCATGCCTTTAGCCTCCTATTCAGTTAACTCTATAACATAGGTCTGCTCAGAAATTAGGCAAAAGGGTAAAACTGACTATTTGGTTTTTTCTCTTTTACATATGGCAATTCACATACTCTTATTTGCGTCTTGAATTTATTGGAATATGGCAAATGCAAAACATGCTATTAATCTTGTGCTTCTAATCCAGAAAATTTCTGAATTAAGAATCTTGCTCCTCAGCAGCGTTATAGGCCCAAATCAGACGCCTAGAGCTAAAAATGAGTGAGGGATAACTCTAGGTAAGAGATGCCCGACAGAAAGCCAGTAGAACACAACGACTCAGGGTGTGGACTTTAGTCACAATCAGTGTGAATCTCAGCTCTGTCACTAACTAACTAACTATATGACTATCTATATGACTTTGGGCACAATTCTTAACTTTTCTGAACTTTACCTTCCACAGCTGGGGGCAAAGCTTTGGGATCACATCTGTAAAATGTAAAAACTAGCTAGCGTTTGGCTTTTAGCAAGCACTCAATAAATACTAAGTATTCTTATTATCAGAACCTTACTCTACTTCCACAAGGAGGATTCTGATCATCTTGATGCCAGACCTTACAGCCAGGGGAAATGGAGGCACCTACCGAGAATTACTCAGAAGAGGGAGCCAACAGGAAACCCAGAGAGGCCTATTCAGCAAGGTCTCCATCCTCCGTGCTTTTGGTCAGCTGATACTATACTTTTGTTGCTAATCATTGTAAAGTCTAACTCTAGAGAAAGAATCATGGTGGTAGAATTCAGCTTCTTGAAGCTACAATTTTAATGTTATGTTGTCAAAGTCAGCACATTACCTGGTTGCTTTTGCCGGGGTTTTGGCAAATTGGTCACACATGTATGCGGGCACATGAGAATATTGCAAGGATGTAGAGATCCCTCCAGAAAGAGCTGTTTCGTCTGAGATATATGAATCCCTCCTAGTGGAGTTTTTGGCAATGTATTGGCAGGTACCAGAGCAAGGCAATAAACCCCTACTTGATGAATGCTATCGATTGCCTAGAAAAATAAAAAAAAAATTCAGTGAGATTAATTTTACTACATTTTACAGCCTCCTAAGATAATCCATTATTTTACTCTATGATTTTTCTTTCTCTAACTAGTCTAGATCTAGAATATTAAGATCCCATACATGTAAAGGTACCTAACCACTTCAGCGATGGCAGAGATCTACAGAAGGGTAAGACGGATGCAAACGGTCAGAGGTGGATACTGATTTTTTTTTTTTTTTTTGAGGAAGATTAGCCCTGAGCTAACATCTGCTGCCAATCCTCCTCTTTTTGCTGAGGAAGACTGGCCCTGAGCTAACATCCGTGCCCATCTTCCTCCACTTTATATGTGGGATGCCTACCACAGCATGGCTTGCCAAGCAGTGCCATGTCCGGACCCGGGATCCAAAGTGACAAACCCCGGGCCACCAAAGCAGAACGTGCGCACTTAACCGCTGCGCCACCAAGCTGGCTCCGTGGATACTGATTTATAAACCTCAATATGTTCTCTCTTGAGTGAGATCAGAAACCTAGAAATTTGTTTTGGTTCTTTTAATATTTTCATTGTCCAACATGGCTCAATGAAGAAGAGGCAAAGTACTTTTATTATGAACACAACAGAAGCTCTGTAAGTGGGTCCCTCCTGAAGTGGTTCACCAGGTTACCAGGAATCCCCTCTGTGAAACATCCAGGTGAGCCTGCTGCACAGGGAGCCCTGGAGGCCACCAGCTCCCTGACTGCGCCTCTGCCCCCAGCCACGCGCCTCTGCACGTGCTGAGTGTCAGCTGTGCTGGCTTCGATGTCTTTCACGCCAGCTGTGCTTGTTATTGTGTTCACATCATTTAAGTAAGTGTTCTATCAAGTGGTAAAATATGAGTGCAAAAAGAGAGAGTTATCTTTTGGAAAGACTCATTAAAGGTGAGCTCCTAATAACTACCATTGGTAGGTATGGGGAAAAGCAAATAGAAAAAAACAAAAGACAAGTTGCAATTTGTAAAGCCTGGGTCTCAAGTTTTCAAAAATATTACCAATGTGAGGCATCTAACTAACTTTGCAAACTGGAAAACAGTATTACTAACTTTTGGGATGATGACAATCCATCACTTTTTATGGGAATTTATCTGTTCTGCTAAAAGACTTTGAATTGCCAGGGTTTTATAAATGCATTTTAATTAAAATTACCTTTGTTTTGAGAATTTTCCAAATACAAAAATAAAAATTAGAAATTACTCCTGAAAATTATTAAATGTGTAAAAGCAATTACTCAAAGGGTGGCTACTAGGTTGTGAAACAGCTGGTACGATATGCAATTTTATGCACATCTTATGCCAACTGATGTCAGAGAGCATATGGGGCCAAACTATTGTAAATCTCCCCTTAATCTCTATTTTATATGGCAGGACACGGGATGGAGCACTGCAGGACATGGGAGTGGAGCATTGGAAGAGAACAGGACTCCACAAAGTTCATTTGCCAGTGGAAACTTCTGACATGAGAGTCAGAACTAACCAAGAAATGTCTTTCCTTCAACAAGCATACTTTTTTAAACTAAGGATAATAACAACAGGAAACAGTTATTACATCTGAGTATGGGTTAGGGATTACTCTAAACAATTTACCTGTATTATCTCATTTAGTCCTCACACCACCCTATAAGGCAGGAGATGTTATCATCCCCATTTTACAGATTTAATTCTTTATTTTATCGACGAAGAAACTGAGGCAAAAAGTTCGGTGGAGCTGGGATTTATGCCTCACGGAACCTCACTCCAGGTCCATGCTCTGTTACTGTATTTTTATAAGAGCAACTCTTGAACATCCTAAGAAAACAGATGTCATAAAAAGGTGGGGCTTTTTGTTTTTCTTTGCATCTTTTTACCTCATACTACATCTTTTACCGGATAGGATCTAGAGTAATGACTGACAAATGCTATCCTGGATTCGTCACTGAAAACACACCATCTGGGAAGTCATCTATTCGCCACCTTCCGTAGAAGGTGCTGAGTGCGGTATGCAGTTTATATTAGGAATGGACCTGGAATCTAACAGCCTCTGGGCTCTAACCTCCCGAACATGTGGTGTCCTTACACTCGGCTACGGATCCAAGTGCCCCAAGCTGAGACGCCACAGAGATGGAAATAACGCCCTCTTATTTCACGCTCAAATCAGACCCCAAATGACCCTTACAGGAATTTGGATTAGTAAATTAGTTTTAATTTAATTCCTATGGTTGCTTTCCAGGGAAAAGTAACCAATATCTTGGGGGATTTCATTTCAGTTTCCTGCAATAGGAAAAAAACGTGTAATTCACCACAAGATTCTACCATTATGCGCCAAAGTTCATTCTGAATGAAATAAGCAGTCTGTTTGCTCGAAAATATGAACAGTATAAAGAAACATTCTCTTTGCAAGCCTAATTCTTAGCCATCCTTCTGAGATCAGCTCAGGCCCATCTACTTCATAGTCTTTTCTGTCTAGTCTACCTTCAGTACATTTTCTTTCTTTTCTCTGATTTTCCGCTACAAACAACCTATGCTATACCAGCTGATAATTCAGAATCACAGACCCTGAGGTTAGGAAGAAATCGTAAAAGTCATCTAGGCCCATCACTCATCTCATGCTTGCATCATTTCTAAAACATTACTGCTAACTGGCAGTAAATAAATCCAAACGCCCCAAGCAGACAAGTAAGTTATAGACATTGGGACACTCCCAATAACGTAGGAGTTGCTATGGCAGGGACAGTCCTTGCTTTCTTTGGATCATCCATTTATTCAACAAATATTAACTGAACTGACCACGATGGTGTGCTGGCACAGCTACTAGGCTCTGGGGATTGAGCAGCGAACAGAAGAGAGAAAGTCCTGGCCTTCATGGGCCTTATATTACAGTGCATGTAGAAAACAATAAATATAAACATACTTAGATGGTGACAGTTCAAGTAGAAAAACAAAGAAGAGCGAAGAGACAGAGTGACAGGGAAGGTTAAAGACAGAGTGGGCCTCTCTAAACTCCTGACTGGAGATTATGACTATGATTATTATTTTTGATGTTAATCAGCATCATCATCATCATTTACTGAATGCAGGCACTAAATACTTCCATTAATTACCTAATTACTATCAATTAATCCTTCCAATAAGCTCTGTAATATAGATGATTTTATCCCCACTTTACAGGTTAGGAAATAAACTCAGCGAGGTTAAGTAACTCGCCCAAAGGCACAGACGTGGTAGGGAGTGAAGGTGGGATTCAAAGTCTGTGATTCTGAATGAAGACTGGGCTCTCTCTATCATTCCAGCCTGCCCCCTCTAGAACTACATCCCTTACACCGAGCCAAGTCCTCCTCCTGCCCTAGTGGTTTATCTCACCTAGATCTCTAAACTCCACATTAAAGCTCCTTCAGGGTAAGAACAACGTCTTATATTTTCTTGCATCCCTCGAACTCTAGGCACCACTTATAGCCTGTAGTAAGACTGTAGCTGTTGACGAAAGGATTGATTACTGAAAAAGATGTGTTCCACATATGGATTGTTAAAACTTTCATGGGTAGTAAACACTCAGGCACAAAAAAGTGAAAGAATTTGCTGAGGCAAATCAATTTAATTGTTCTTGGCAACTGGAGCAGAAAAATACCATGTGGTCCACAAAGAGAAATGGTATCAATTATCTGATTTTGCTAATAGTACCCAGAATATTTCAGTAGTGATTAAGAAGAAGAAAATACGGTGGCATAACTGGCCCATCAAAGAAAATGCTTCATTAGTGGTTGGGGCCACTCTGACAACAAAGCCACTCCACCTGGACAAAGACCCACGGCGCGCTCACCTGCAGCACGCGGCTCATCCACTGGAAACTGTCTTCCTCAGACGCGTCAGGTCTTTGTTCCGCGACCACCACGATGCGCTCATCATAAAATACAGACACAGAAAACACAGCAATTCTAAGAGAGACAGATCAGACACATCAGCACTCCCTTCACAACCAGTCCTAGTTGCTTTGCTCAGTTGGAATCACAGAGAGGGGACATCCCCACCACACTACCCAGGAATGAGTAGTTTAGAAAAGAAAATGTCACAATCATTACCATCAAAACAAGGACTCAAATAACACGTATTAAGCACCACTGTTGTGAATGTTGGGACATAGTGATAAATAAGACAAAGTCCCTGTCTTCATGGAGCTTGTGTGTCAGAGAGACAGAACAAAAAAATCAATATAAAATAATGTCATGTGTAATACACACTGGGAGAAAACTAAGGCGGGGTAAGGAGGTGGAGTGGTGTGCGGGGGGCGGACTACAAAGGCAGGGTGGTTGGGGAGCGCCTCCCTGAGGAGTGGACACTGGAGCAGAGACCTGAATGAGGTGAGGACGCGAGCCATGCGAAGATCTGGAGGAAGAGGTTTCCGGGCAGGAGGAACGGAAAGCGAAAAGGTTCTGAGGTAGGAACGAGCTTGGCAGGTTTGAGGAACAGCAAGAAGGCCAGTGTGCCTAGAGCAGAGTGGTGAAGCAGAGAGTGGTGGGGAGAGGTCAGATCCAGGCAAGGGCGGTCACAGAGGACCTGGCAGGCCAAGGGGACGGGGATGTTCTGAGTGAGGTCTCCGCTCAAACGTCCCCTTACTAGTGAGGCATTCCCAGACCACCCTATATAAACCGGCAAGCACACTCCCACCCGCTGTGTTCTTTCTGTAGAGCACTTATCAGCATCTCACACATTCTCTGTTTCCCTATGTGGTTCCTGTCTGTTTCCCCCAACGAGAATGTGAGCTTCACAAGGGCAGAGACTTGGCCACACCCTGAGCATCTGGAAGAGTGGCATACAGTTGGCACCCAATAAATATTTGTTGAATGAATGCACGAAAGAATGGGAAGTCACTGGAGAGCTGAATGTGCCAGCATGTCCAACCATCTCCCTTTCTTCCTTCCTTTTACCCACACATTTACTGAACACCTACCGTGTGCCAGGCACTGTGCTGAGTGCTGGGGATATACTGTGACCAAGGACAGAAGGTCTAGTGCCCCGTGGAGTTTACCTCTCACAGGATGCCACATCATTATAACAAACTACATGCTTCAAGAACGGGTTCTGTATTGGTTTAATTAATTTTTCTTACTTAAAAAACTACAGGGACACTAAGATTGCTTTAAAGACATATGTCCATCATTGTAAATAGGACATCAATTACTCAAATATGTACCAAACATCTTTTCTTGAATTAATAAGCAAAGAAAAAAGGATATGTAATTGACTTCATCCATGGAATCTGAAATTAGCACTTATGTACTACGTCAGTCTCTGCGTTAAGATGGTATAATAATTTAGTTAGAGGTGAGTACGAGAAACAATTCCTAGACGTGAAACTCCTGTGGAGTAGCAGCTATCTCACCTAGACTGAATGGGCCTACTTCTGTATTGAAGGAATGCAGGAAGTTCAATGTTTTAGAATTCTCAGTCCTCAGGATTCAACAAATAGTAATAATTAAAAACTGAAATACAGGATATGGTTATGTCTTATTCCTCTCAATTACAGCCAAAGAACCAGACATTTTAAGATAAATGCTCAAAGCCCAGTTTCTGATATGTTTAACCAAAAATAATCATTTGGAAAGAGAATCTACAGAATACAACTCAAATCACCCTATAAAGAGATATTTAGAATCCACTGGAATTGCTAACACTGGAACTTTGTACTACTCACCTTCCTCTATAAACAGTCTTTATTGATTCAACAGCCAATCCAGTAGCAACAATGTCATCAGCATTATGTCTGCGACCACTAACCATCAGTAACCCATCCATTTTTCCAACCACAAACACCAAGCTGCCCTGAAAGGTAACAAGGATTTACCTTGATTTCCATAGTTCAAATACTAAAACAGACATTTTACTTCCTGCTTTGAAATAGATCTCATTAAAAATAGAAGAAAGAAAACAATATCATATTTTATGGATTCTAAGAAAGTGTTTCACATCTTGACATCTCAGAAATCACGAGGGAAATCAGTGGCATCTTACACTTAATGGGGTCTCATGCTACATAAGAAGGGGATCCGTTCATATCGATTCTTAGGGAGGAATTTTATAAGAAAGCAACTAGGATTCCACACAAGCAGTTTATTTTCCCAGCCATGATTATGTATTAGTTCATCTTTTGTACCTATTCATGGGATGGATGCAGAGGAGAAAAATTTTAATTCATTTAATACTGGAATTAGGAAGAGATTAAAACAGTTTTAATGTGAGAATGACTGTTTCAGGTTCAAGGGTAATGCTGTTTCCATCTGGCAAGATTAGCAATCAGCGAATAACGAAAGGTCTAAGGAACACTATACGAGCCCCTCCTTTCCAGGAAGATAACAAGCTGCAGGAAAGTCTGCTGTCAATGCCCTTTTTAAAAGGCTGTATAAATAATTTTACTATCTGTTATTATCAATAATTCTCCCAGACCCATTTGCAATAAATTAATTTTTCCCATTACAGAATTCCTAAATTTCTTGGACCATTTACATATATTCAAAGATGAAGTAGTCATCTCCATGTGAATGTCACTCACTGATTTACTGGGCACAATATAGGGCCACACAGTGACTGACCTAGGTAAGTAAGATATAACCTCTGGTCTCAAGAAGCTACTGGCCCATCCCAGAAGACAGAAGAGAACCAGCCATTTCCCAAATAGTCTGAAAAGAGCTACAGGAAGTAAATAAAGAGAACGAGACAGTCACAGCTAGTCCCCCAACGTCCGTTTCTCTATTTCTTTCACAGTAATAGAATTTTTAGCTGGGCATGGCTGATGAAAATAAAGACTGCATTTCAGCCTCCCCTGCAGGTAGGCGGCCATGTGACTAGTTCAGAACAATGAGATATACGTGGAAGTGTCGCTCAGCAGCTTCAGGGAATCTTCCTTAAGAGACAGTAAGACTGCACGCTTTTCTCTGTCCTGTTTCCTGGAAGGCAGATGTGATGGCTGGAGCTCCATCGTGGACCTAACTAGTGGAGCTGGGTCTTTGAGAATTTCTTGGTGCTGAGTGAAGAAGTCAAGACAGCAGGTATAGACTTCTCTTTCTAGGACAGCAGTTCTCTTAGAGGTATGTCCTCACCTCCACTGCCCCCATAAATAGTGGGGAAGAAACAAATAAAATTAGACCTTTTCTTATATAAGGTAAGCTGCTAAGAGGAGAAGAAAGAGAGGGTAAGGCGGTAATTAGTGATGGATGAAGGTATAAGGGCTTAACTGCGATAATGAATGCCTATTACTTATAAAATAAAATCCACGCTTCCCATGATGTCACGCGAAGCCCTTCAGGATGGAGCTCTCTGCCTTGCTTGTTGGCTCACGCAGCTAACTGCGAGCTCTCGGAGAACAGGTTTTATATCCTAATTATCCCTGTAAACTCAGTGCCTATAAATACCAGTTGCTGAAAAACAAATTGCTTTCATTCAAAGAATTCAAAGTCAATTCATTCGAAGAATTGACTGTCACACATGGTGTAGTGCTGCCGCTTTGTATGAAAATGCTTTGTACTCTATTTACTATGGTTTCCCTTTGCTATTGAAGGTAACTTTTTCAGCACTATTCTAAATTATTGAAACATATTAATCAAATCAAAGAAAGCTAGCAAGAATAAGTGACGAGAGTTTTGAAAATAAAAAAGGAATGACTTAGTTTGAAGGACTGAAATGAACTTGGGTAACGGAAACAATAAACATTAACTCATTTTATAACATTCTTATTATAGGAACTGCCCTAAATATAAAAGTGTCCTTGTAACACTCTTGAACTAATCAGAATATGTTCTGTTCTGTGAACTAAAGTACAAATATTTGGATCAGATGCACCAAAACAAACATGAAAGTATCACTTACCGGCCCCACAAACCCCAGCAATCCTGACCGGATGAATGGCACGTCCCCAACAGGAGAGCCTGTGGAATTCACTGGAATCACCTAAGAGACAGAAGGAAGAAAGTGAAAATCTGAGCTTTGTCTTAAAAATTGCGTTTGATTTTTTAAAAGTCTTTAAAAAAATTATAACAGTAATACATGCTTGTTGAAAAGCTGAAATTATATAAATAGTGAATCCAGTAATCCACCTCCTTAAGAGATAACATTTACAATTCGTAGTTTCTCTCTCTAGAATTTTTTCAGATGTGGATATCAACATATTAAAATTTTTTTAAGGGATTATATTATAAATAGTGTTTTGCAACTTGCTTTTTCACAAACTGTATGTTACATATTTTGCACATAATATCTGTATTTTGGATACCGTTACAGGTTGGTAACAGTCGATCAGCTCCCTTTGTACGATAGTTCTGTAACGCACCATCGCATGGGGGACGGGAGAGCACAGCCCTTGGAGTCAGATGTAAGCTCAGTTTCTGGTTCTGCCACTTGCTGGTAATGTGGACTCTGGGTAAATTCCTGCACTTCCCTACGCTTCATTTCTTTGGCCATAAAATGGAACTCCCAATGCCCTTCACAGGCTGACGGTCAAGATGAAGGGAATAGAAACAGATCTGCAGACATACGCACAGTGCCTGCCCAAAGTCACCACTCAGGAAACTACTGGAATTAGTACTATTAGAATGTACCTAGTCTTTCTGGCTGTGTAGGTCATTCTAATTTTTCACTATTAAAAACGGTGCTTTACTAAAGACTCCTGTACATATTTTTGTGCGTTTGTACAAAAGGCATGATGAGTCTTCCATTTTAACAGGCTATGCTATAAAATTATTACAGCAATTTACACTCCACTAATACCCATAAGAATGTTTTTACTATACTTTGTCAATCTGGTAGGCAAAAAAAGATATCCCACTGTAACTTTAACTGCATTTCTTTATAAGCAATATGGATTAAATTCTTTTCCTTTATTTACTGGCCATTTGCATTTCTTTTGTGAATAGCCTATTCATGTCTCCTGTCTATTTTTTTCTATTTCACTGGTTTTTTTCCCTTTAAGTTTTAAGATTTCTTTTTTATACAGGGAACAATTATAACAAGAGCTAACATTTATTAAATGCTTATCATGAGTCAGGCATGTTCCAATTGCTTTAGCTAATCCTCAAGACAGCCCTAGGAAAGAGGATTCTTATTTCCCTTTTACGGATGAGGATGTGAGGCGCAGAGTTGCATCTGCCTCCTAGCAAACAGCTAGTAAGTGAAGGCGATGGAAAATTAGCTCTTTGCTCTCATGTGTTACAAGAGTTTTCTCACCAGTAGTTTATTTTTAAAATGCACTTTTATTTTCTGACCAGTCATTACTAGGTCTTTTGTCCTGGTGAGATGTTAACCCACTCTCAGGGTTTAAATATAAGAATCTAGTAAGAAAGATACTAGAAACTTTAATTTGTAAAACCAAGGCAACCGTTTTCTCCTTTTTGGGTTAGGATTTTTATTCTACTTCACTAGTATTATATTTATACTGCAGATTTCAAAATTTCGTCATCACTATGAACCTGGCAGTTTGAGATTAAATCCGAGAATTTTGACTAGGCATTGTCCTCACAGGAATGGCAACATAATAAAATATTATCAGTATCTTCGAATATTGCTTGAGGATCTCATTTACAGCAAGGAAAATGCAATGAAGAAAAATTCAGATCTTGGAAATATATGTAATCCAAGCACTTAAAAATAAGAGAAATAGAGTGAGATCTAAATTAGTAAAATGTATACATACTCAGCAGAGGTAATTAGTCACCTGAGAAAGTAAACCCAGAGACTGGCAGTGAACATATGCTTTAAGAGTCTGCAAAGATCTACTTCTATCAAGTTGAACTGCTCACAACTTTTGAAGATAGGCCAAGAAGGTAGTAGTAAAAAGATGATGATGATGATGGTAATGACAGACAGACATTTAATAATTTATACCATTTTAGGTTGTGTAAACACAGACGATGGTCAGCCCAGGAGCTCTTAACCTTCTTCAGCCACCACACCATTCATATAGCTAACACTCTTCCCCGGTTACATCTACTGCTACATAATTTCATATGCTGACTTTCAAGGGGGACAGATGTGCCCTGCCATGCTGAAACTGAGAATCACCAGTCTAAATGAGCCCAAAAGGAAGCTGGAAGAACTGAAAAGCGGCAGTGGTCATATAGGCCCCGTCTAGTAGGAAGGTGACATGGCCCATAAACCAGAGTTCTCTGTTCCCTAAAAGGTACCCTGAGGCAGGTTAATCCCAATTATGAAATACAGACAATTAATTATGCCTGTTCTGATTTCCAGGCTCACCAGGCACCTTTCATCACAATTTGGCTTCATGTGCAGAAGTGCCTGCAGGGAAACAATGTGCTAGTTCCTCTAGAATACGAGCTATTTGAGGAGCTTTGTGTATTTTCCTGTTGTACCACAAGCATCTAGAACAGTGCCAGATACATAGAAGGTGCTCAATAAATATTTGTCTGAAAGGCTGAAGAATGGGAGCAATCTGCCCTGTGACAGGACAGTTCATTTTTCATCAGTAACCCGGCATTCTGGTTTACATCAGTCTCTACAAGCTCGGTTAACGTGAGTCTACTCTCAAGAGATGGATCCATTCTCACCATACTCTCAAGATTAAACTTTTGGGTTTATAAAGCTCAAACCATGGCATATTCACCAGAGTGAGTTTTTGTGAGGCCTCTTACTCTTTATTTAGCTAGATAAGCAATAGCACTTCCTGTGTGCCAGGTGCTGTTCTAAGCACTTTATAAACATTAACTCTTTCAGTTCTCATGACAATCCTATGAGGTAGGTACTACGATTGCTCACATTTTAAAGATAAGGAAATTGGGGCACAGAGAGGCTAAGCAACTCACCCAAGGTCAGCAGGGAGTGGCAGACTTAGGATTCGAACTTGAGCAGTCCACGCTCTCCACTGCTACACTATGCCATGCCCATCAGCCAGCTCATCTGCCCTGGGATACCTGACCTCCCCAGTCTCCCTGAGAAGCTTGCATAGCACGTACCTCAAATGTATTTTTTGTCACACCAGCAAGCCCAAAGTACATCATGCCTCCTGTTCTGGAGCTGACACAGATTTCTCCGATTTCATCTGTTTTGCAGAGTTGGGGAGGTCCATCGGGTCTCACAATGCACATCATCCCTGGTGTACAGAAGAGACAGTTAAGGTACAGAGATCTGGAAAACTCCTGCAAAATAACAGCTCGTCCCTGTGAACCCAGGAAAACTTAGCATTTACTGAGTGTCATTAAGTAAGACTACCAAACAGGAATGTTAAAAATAGACCTGACACTACAAAAATATACCTGAAATTTCTATTTTTTAACCCTGATGATAAATAATTTTTAAAATTCAGCAGCTAAAACACAAAACAGATGCAGACTGAAACTTTTAAAGAGAGTGACATATTAAAAATGACTGCAAAGTCCAAAAAATAGGTTAAATGAATTTACCCCTAGGCAGGTCAAACTCAAACCCTCAAGAAAGCAGTGTGCTCTAACTTTCTGCTGGCCCCAAGGTCTTGGCAATTAGTGAAAACCAGACAATTTTAGCATCACTCAGTCCTTAGCTTTCCATGTGAACAACTGTCATTGAAGCATTCAAATTAAATCATTCCATACTGTCAGGAGGCAAGTACAATCAGAATCACCTAACTATTAGAGAGGCTTTGAGAAATGAAGTGACTAAGTTCTGAATTTTAGATTCCTGGTTTTGAATCTCATATTTTATTAGGCTTGAGTATCTCTAATGAGAAATCTTTATGAAAAACCAAATGCGCTCCTGAGAACTCACCACCGGGCATTACGTGTCCCACGTCCTGGACCGTCAGTGCTGAATTTTTATCTTCGGTATTGACCCGTATGACCCCATAGCTCAATCCGTTCATTGAGAGAATGGCTCTTCCCGGCAAAGGGGCCCCTGGAACTCCAGGCCTGAAAACAAAATAAACTCATCAAATCTGGCAAATTAAATGATAGTAAGAGAAAAGTATGAATATGTAGGAAAGCAAACATCCTCTGGCTGCTATACACAAAAATCCTCATTTTCTCTACCAAAAACATGCAGAATTAATCAAATTCATATGGACAAAGCATGGCCAACTTTCATTCAGGTGGAAAAAGCAAATTTTAATCAGGAGTTCAGAAGAGATTGGCTTGTGTGTACTGTATATGTACTTTCCATACTTGAGCTATGATCAAGAACAGCCTATTTCAGTCTAAGTTGCTAACTAAGGATTCCAAAGAGCAAAACAACACAGAAAAAGAACTAATTCACAAATGCAAGATGAGAAGAACTAAAGTAAATCTTCAGTTTGCCAGTTACACTTAGGGCGAGAGTGGGAAAAATAAATGAGATGCTTCAAACTGCTTTATAAAATCATTTCCACTTTCAGGCTTATGAAGCAGAAAATTAGCCAGCACTCCTTAGGATCGCCTAGTAAATACTGCACATTGGATCAAAATTGTAAATTACATCCGGAGCACCAACATTCTGAATAATACCTTCGGATTGCGACAGTCATGGCTTCCGCAGAAGTAGCACATGGACAGATGGCCTCAGGCTTCAATCCATGGCTTTGGAACAGGCTCAGGAAGGCATCACAGGATGACACAGACCCTAAGGAGGAGGAACAGATCAACTTGAAAGCTGAAATTGTGCTTTTCATTACTACAGGAAACTGGCAAAGAGTGGAGAGCCGACACATTTGTTTCTCACGAGAACTCTCATGGTACACCATTAATTCCATACAAATATTTTACTGTGCCTGTTAGATGGCTGATACACTTCAAGGACAAATGAATGCTCATCCAGCCCACGAAAGGTGACAGATGCTATTTAAAGTTATAACCTGGAATCCAGCTGCTCCCACCAAACTGCCCGATCAGCAGCAGAGATGCGTGGCCGGCAACAGGTTGCCAGTTTGGAACTGAGCAACTCTCCCTGAAGTCACTATTTCAGCCAGTGCAGGACTAATATTCTGGCTTATTTCCACCCTCTTCTGTGTGATATTCTCTGCCTTGTTTCTTATTAAGGTCAATCCCATGTCTGTGTTTTATACCAGGATGATCATTGTGACTACTGACAAAAATCCGTTTATGAAAAAGAGCACAGCATCTAAAGCTTTACCTGATTCCACTGTGTGGCGGCTCAGGGTGTCTGTGCTTGTGGGGAAAAGCTGGTAACACGGTAAGATTTCTAAAAGCTTTTGCAAATTCCTTTGATTTGATGATAAGGGGAATTTTCATAAAGTCCAGACACTCAGTTACATCAAGTCACCTTCTTAATGCTCATTTTAATTACATGATAGAAAAAGGATATAAATGAGTGAGCAAGGAGGAGTGGTTTTAAAAGCTTGTGGACCTACAGGATGATGAATGGATAAATAAAATGCGGTATATTTATACAATGCAATATTATATGGCAATAAAAAGGAATGAAGCATGAACACATGCTACAGCACAGATGAACTGGAAAACATGCTCAGTGGAAGAAGCCTGTCACGAAAGACCACGTAAGCACGACTGCATTTATATGAAATGTCCAGGATAGGTAAATCTACAGAGACAGAAAGTAGAGTAGCAGTGGCCTAGGGCTGGGGGACAGAGGGTGAGAAATGGGCAGCGACTACTCATGGGTATGGGGTCTCCTTTTGGGGTGATGTTGTTATAAACTTAGATCACGGTGGCAGTTGCCTAACTCTGTGAATATACTGAAACCACTGAACTGTACACTTTAAATGGGTGAGTTGCATGGTATGTGAATTATATCTCAATATGGATGTTAAGAAAAAAAAAAAAAAAACTTACAGAAAACAAGGCAAAAACCTCAACCTACCAAAAGAAAGGATATTCCCAGACCCACATCCTAGAAATACTCACAGGGATTAGCTCCATCAGTCACAATTAACATCCGGAGGGAACTCAAGCTCACATCTCTTTGGTCCCGATGTGCCATCATAGCCCAGTGCAAGTCTCGACACTTTACTAAAGCTACCTTGGCTATAAATTCAAAAGGGATAAAGTTAACACACACATGCCCGCTAAATGGGTACGTATTTAATACAATAAAAACATTTTTACTTATTTTAGGGATCACGATGTTCACTTAGAGAAGATAAAAAAGGTTTCAGAGAAATTGTGCCAGGTGCTCCAAGGTAGCAGCAACTGACAGGACACACAACCATTTTGCTCACTGTGACCTGTAGGCAGGCCACATTTCCCAGCCAATGAAGCTTTGAACACCAAAGCACCCAATAAATCTAATTCAGGGCTCAGATTCAGGCAAATTCATCTTAATTCTTAAGAAGGACATAAGCGAGATGAAATAGACAACATACCTAATTTTATAGTAATTGAACTCTAAAATTTGTCAAGCCACCTAGGCAAAGGATTATGTCCCCAGAGAGAAATTTGAAAATCCCTGAAATCTTAGCTCAAACAGCTACATAACGGAAGCTTAGATGCTGTAACTACCTTTGTGGGCATGTACTCTTTGGACCCAAGAGAGAGGGCAAGTCTTCATAACGGAATAGGGTACGCTAATTGTATGCATCTTATTCATTACATTCTGAAAAGCAAAGAAAGATAAAAAGCAATCAATACCTAAGACATACTTAGCATTTTAAAATTGAGCTGATATTTTGTTAAAGACTGTAATCATACAAGTAATACTCAAATACATGCTCTTTGAAAAAATCTGAAATATTAACTTTAAGGTTGAAGTCTCCTTTGCCACCCACCCTCACACCTGGTCCCCTCCTCTCCTCCTCAGAGAGGATCACCGTTATGAATCTGGGATGTTTCCTTCCAGTCCTTTTTCTGCATATTTACATATGTATTTGTCCCCATAGAAACGTAAAGGATTTTTAACATATAAGATGTATTACACATACATCGGCAACTTTCTTTTTTTCACTTAAATTGTTTTACAGCCAAATCTATGCACATCAGTATAAGAGAGCTACACAATTCTTTTGAACTGCTACATAGTGTTCCATAGTATGACTATACTACCATTTATTTGGGCATTTCTTTATTATTGACAATTTTTTTGCTATTACAGTGTTTCAAGGGACATATTTATACTCCCTTCCCTGGGCAGGTGTGCAAGTGTTTCTCCAGGGCAGACACAGAAAAGTGGTCCTGTGGGGCCTCAGGAGAGATGCTCTTCAAATCTGACAGACACTGCCAAGCTGCCCTCCCACCAACTCAGTGCCTTCACCATGGTCAGGCTCACCACATACCACAAAGGTGTGGGCAGTACAAAGCAAGAAACCCAAGTTTCCCTGTTGCTCAGAGAGGTCCTGCCCAGACCTGTTAGGTGTTTGGGTAGATAAAGCCGAGTGAGCTGAGGGAGTAACGCAATTTGGTATCTCTCCTGCCACCCAAACCAAACATACCTAGGACTCCCTGTCCCCAAAGAGACTCAACCTCAAGAGAAAGTAACTCTTAGTATTTAGACTGGCCATTTTGTTCACGATCTAAGTGGCCCAAAGAAACGAAGATTATAAGCTTCTTTTTCCTCCCCGCCTGAAGTTTCTAGCTATGGTGACACACTTTTGGATTTCAGGGAAAGAACAGTTTTTATAACTAACTCTTCACACATGTCCCTATCTTGTTCTTTGTGTCACAAGGAGAAGATCCCTCTAACTTCCCACAAGGGTTTTTTAACTGCTGATAAAAAGCAAAATGGGAAGGGCTTCAGAAAAGAGCTGGAAAGTAGCATCAAGGACTAAGGCTATTACTAATCTGAGGGTCCTGGGTGAAAACGGACCCTCCTCCTCTTCCTTCATGCTTCACTTTCAGCTCTTTCTCAGAATCCTGTACCGTGTAAGGAAGGTGGACGAGGTCCCCTCGGAGATCCTTTTCAACTCCAGAATCTGTTATCTCTCCTCTCTCCCTACTCCTAATCAGCATGCTACATATGATAGCTTTTCCCACTTGAACTGTCCCCTCTCTTGACCTCCACCTCAAAAATATCTCTGTATGGCTAAATCTTATTTATTTTTCAAAGTCCAACTCAACTTCACCTCTTCCATAAAAATAGCCTTGATGCCAGAGCTGAGAGGAGCTCACCTTTCTCTAACCCCCATAGCATGTTACCTGCTTCCTCTGTTACAGAAAGTAGCCTGAGCTACCTCATCACTCCATTCTTTCACTGCAGCACGGAGTCATTCCATACATTTTGTCCAATGGAAAGGCTGGATGTTATTAGCTACAGTTGCCAAGTTCTAAATATATTTATGTAATCCTTTCTTCAGAAACATACTTTTTAAATCATCAATAAATATTTAGAGACTTGTAGAATCTTTTAGGCTTTGAGCCATCATAGCAGATGTTTTAAAAACTTTTGATCCTAAGTTCTCCCACATACTATTATGTGAAGAAAAAACAGAATTACATTCTCCTTAAAAAAAAATTACTATTTGTACTACAAAATTAAACTCCTCTGGAGAATATTATTGATCTTTTGGGGGCTTAAATTTCAATCAAGCACTGAGAGATGCTCTGGTTACCCAGCATGCAGATTGACCTGAATCCTGAGCACAATGTACCCTACAGGCCTTAATTCTGAGGAGCTTACCGCAAACATGCCATGCCACAGCCCAGCATCCTTCTTAAAGTCTAAAACATTTACTACTGTTTCCCCTAAAATAGAAAAAACACACGGAAATCATCTTTAGTGTTAAGTAGCAAAGTCATGTCACTTGCCTCTATGAAACAACTGAATTGGTACTTTGAAAGAAATTACTAAAAGCTCTCAGGGTCTTTTGATTACTTGAGGGTCCCCTCAAGTCGGCTCGGGGACTGATCAAGAGACAATGAGTTCAAAATTCCTTATGGCTTAGGCACTATCTTCCAAGAGATAATATTTTTTCCCTAATTATATAAAGAACATATGTTTACTTTAGAGACTTTGGAAGTTTCCTGAACACATGTAAAAGATTACACTTCCTAGAGAAAATAAAAAATGTTGGTTGTATATATATCTGTAACTTTTATCTACATAGACACACATATTTTAAGCATGCTTATAGATAGATAGCTAACATAACAAAAGTGGCATACACTGCTCTGTATCTAATTTGTTTCCACTTAATGATATATTGAAACAATTGCCCCCTATCTTTAATATTCAAGAACATGGGTTGTAATGCCTGAGGGTATATAACCCATTATATGAACTGTTATAATTTGATCAATCCTTATTTTTTGGCATTTTGATTGCTTCCATTATATATACACTTTACCAAACAATGCTACTCTATAACACACATGTATTAACTTGTTTCATTCTATGAAAGGAAAATAAAACACTAAAAAAATTAATATTGTAAAGAATATGCTAAGGCAAATAGTTCTCACACAATATATATCAACACATCTAAAATTCAACAATATAGAATACACTTTTGTGTTTGAATTTGTGCTTTCCCGTAGCTAAATTTCTTTGACTTTAACTCCAAACCATACAGCTGGTGGCAGCTCTATACACAGGGCAAGATGGAGACACCTGACGCGCCGCAGCTAAGAAACACATGGTTTTAATTAATTTTCTAATTCTGCACTCAAGAATCATGTTTTACAAATTTGGTTTGCCCAGAATTTTAGTTCCTTTAAATTACAGCATATTTGTGAAAAAGAAGATAGCAAAAGCAAGCCAAGAATGTGTCTTAGAACATGTCACACTGAATTTGGTCATTAACTGGAATCCAATCACTGGGGACTCTGCTGTAGTCACATATATCTGAGGCTCACAATGAGGGCAGTCATGGGACGAAGTCTGACCTTCAGAATAATTGCAGGCCTGGGATAGAGCTTGGCAGTGAGACAACATCGCAAGGCGGGACACCGTGACTCCCATTACACTCCCTTCTTTGCTTGTTTTATACTAGAAAAAAAAACACCAAACAAAACATCAGAAACACAACAAAATGGGTAATTTCAAATGACAAAACTAGAATCCAAAAACGAAATTCAGATAAGCCATGATAACGGGCCGAATTTAACATGTTTCACAGGAATATTTGAGGCTACGCATTTGGGCCCTGAACTCTAATCACACAAAGATAGGACTGGGGAATGACAAAGCTCAAAAAAGCAGGTGTGAACAATTCTTAAAAGTTTAATTAGTCGTCAGTGTGAAGTGGCTGCTAAAGAAGCTAAAACAAATATGTGACATGAGCCGCATTAATAGAAGCACGGTATCAAAGACACGGTGCGCCCAGCACTGCAGTCAAAGGTGCGAAAGACGGGGTCCCTGTCTACCAGAAGCTCCCAGTTTGGGAGGGGGGAGACCTACATATGGCTTATTTACTCCTGCAAATCAATCAACTATAGTTTTGTTCTCACTTCAATGCTCCATTTAAGTTGCTTTTACCAAGATCAGTAACTTTTTGACTGTTAAATTAAAAGGACACATCGCATATTTGGTTTTATCAGACCTTTCTGTAACATCTTCTTTTTTTTTTTTTTGAGGAAGATTAGCCCTGAGCTAACTGCTGCCAATCCTCCTCTTTTTGCTGAGGAAGACTGGCCCTGAGCTAACATCCGTGCCCATCTTCCTCCACTTTATATGTGGGACGCCTACCACAGCATGGCTTGCCAAGTGGTGCCATGTCCGCACCTGGGATCCGAACCGGCGAACCCCAGGCCGCCAAAGCAGAACGTGCACACTTAACCGCTGTGCCACCGGGCCGGCCCCAACATCTTTTCTTAACGCTTCTCCTTTCCCAGCTTTTGTGATACTCTTCTCTCCTATTCCTATTCTCTTTCCCCCATCTCTTTCCCCTCCACTTTCTCTGCCCATCTCTTAAATGTTGGCTGGCATTCCCTGAAAGTTGTGTTGTTCTTCCTCTTCTCCGTTCACTTTATCCAATCAGGGTACCACATTCCTGATGACTCCTAATTCTTTATCTCCAACCCAGACCTCTCTCCAGAGATCCAGACTCACAGTCAACTGTTCACCTTGGGTGACCCATAGTTCTGTGAAACCCAATGTATCCAACACTGTCTTCACACCCACCCCTCACCCACGAAAACACCTCTTGCTGTATTTTCTGTCTTAGTGAAGGATGCTGCCATCTCCCCCAGATGCCCAAGTCAGAAACCTGAGAGTCTTTCTTGCCTCCTCCCTCTCCAGAGTCAGTCACCAAGTCCTGCCTCTTCTACTTCTTTACTGTCTCTCAACTCCATCTACTTTCTCTAGCCCCATCACCACAAGCTTGGGCAGCTGGGATAACTGTAAAAGCTGGTCTCCCTGTTTCCCTTCTTAACCTCAACCAAACCAGATAAATCTTTAACAACATATTTATTCTTAGCACCCTTTAAGAGCTCCCCATTGCCCACAGGATACTTTAAACTCGGGAGCAATGTCCTGTGGGTAGTAAGAGGGTTCCAAGTGAAAACTGCAAGTTAATTCAGAACAGCAGAAGCCTAGAAACGGCCCCAGAGGGCAGTAGTTTCACACGAGGCCGGAGGGCTAAGCACCTCTGCTTAATCCACATAATAAAGGGCCCTTCACCTTTTAGGAAGAACCAATAAAGAAGACTGAAAGGAGTGGTCAGCTGGCAGGAGAACTGAGAGCAGTCAGGGAAGCCGGGGAGCAGTTTGAAGGAGGATGGAGCGATGACCCATGTCACCATTGAGAGATGATACGGACCGAGAGTTGATCCCTAAACTTGCTATTTTAATCACCTATTTACTTGTTCTGTCATTTAAACATACTCAGATCTCTTCCATCTTTCAAAGCGATCCTTGCATTCAACATTACCACATCACCTCTCAAAGCTACTGCCCGCTCTCTTCCCTCTTACAGCCAAAGTTATCACCAGAGGGCTCAAGGATGGGTGGAGTTTTTCCCCAAACCTTTTAAAAAAAAATTTATTGATTTGTTTATTCATTAATTTAGCAAACAGTTGGTGAGCATTTACTAATATGTCTCAAGCAGCATGCAGAGTAATCAAGAGCACAGCTTTGAGAGTGAAAGAAGTATCGGTTTGAGTCCCAGCTCTGCCATTTCTGAGTCATATGAGCTTTGGTTGGTTATTCAAGTTCGTTTAAGTCTTAGTGTCCTCACCTATAACACAGGACAGGTTTAATAACAGCCCCACCTCACAGGGTACTTGTGAGGCTTGACTGAGATGATGCATTTAAAGCACTTAGCCTGGTGTCTGGGATGCGGCAGGACTGAATCCCTCAACCGCAACATGTTATCAGTCAGTCAAGTTCCTACACTACCCTCCAATACCAAACCCTCTAGCCGTCTGTTTCTTCCTGCTCTTTATCTTCTGTTAAATTTGTTCAAGGACAGTTCTCTTCCCTCCTCATTTCTCCAGTCTCTTGCTTCCCACCCGCTCCCCTGAAAGCAGCAGAGAAACATCTCTGCCAGTAAATCATTTCTTAAACCTTTGTACTTTAAGTCTTTTGTAACTTTCTTACATGGCAAGGATCAATTTCTTTGCAGCCTTTGCCCTGAATGTGTATTGATGTTAAAAATAATTAGAATAGAATGTCCACCACAAGGCATCTTCTAAGCCAAAAGATGGAAATCTAACAAGCCAGGAGGAACTTCTAACATGAAAACTGCAAAAAGTTTAAAATTTTGTGAGATAGCAACTGAAGCCAAAGAAAAGGCCAGAATGCATGTTCTCGTCTCAGGACTTACCTCGATGTACGCTGGTTCTGTCCCAGCAGGTGAGATGTGGGGCTGCCAGTCCTTAGGTGGCTTGGAAAGGTACTTGGAATCTGTTACAACCCATTTGAGCCGAGGCCAACCTTAATCAAACCCAAAATAAAAACTGAATTGCCTAAGCCATGAGGGAAGAAGTTCACAGTGAATTGGTCATTTTAAATATCAAGAGACCAAATCAAGGTTACTTTATAATCAGTAAAATATTTTTATTAATTTTTAGTGATAAATCACCAGACAATTATACCTTCTTTCAAAAGTAAAATCTTTCCACATGCTAATTCCAGGCCTTGACATTACCTCGACAATTGGGAGGTCCATTTGGCAGTGGAAGTCCACTGAGGTTAGTGGTCTATCCTCTGTCTCTACATGTAGCATTTAGCTTTAGTGAACAGAGTGGTAGCTTTTTCCAACCATCAGCATAAAGGTTAAGGGTGTGGGCTGTGGAATCAGATTTGGGTTCAAATCGCTGCTCTGCCATTTATTAGCTGTGACTTTGGGCAAGTTACTTAACCTCTCTGTGTCTCAGTTTCCTCACCTGTAAAACGGGGATAATAATGGTACCTACTTCATAAGATTGTGAGAATTAAATAAGAAAATATATGTTACTTAGCTATTATTAAATTAAAACACTAAACCACTCAGCTTTAACTTTTAACTAAGAATTCAGGTACAAATATCACTAACCTTTAAACTGTACAATTTCTCCATTCTGGGTTTTTGGCAGCCCCTTTAGACAAACTTCGCTGGTAAGAGCTAAGGCAACACCACAGCTTCCTAGCAAGAAGCCAATCTGCTGCCCTCCAGCATCCTGCGGAGAAAAGATAACGAGCGCGGTCGGGGAGCGAACGTGACACACCCATGCCCAGACTGTAACACTTCAGAATGCTCTGGCACTCATGTGATAACATTCATGAAATCCCACTGATATCTGGCAATTGTCAAAATCCAGTGACAATATATGTTCTTCCAAATACTTTCTACAATACAATGATTTCCTGAGTGCAAATCAAATATTTTATTAATCTGACATTACTAATGACAAATTCTACCAGCCAAATGTAACCATTTTATTCAAAGGTCAGCAATGCTTCTCTTTTAGATTAGAAATAAATGCTACATGGTTACGCGGTCTTGATCTAGCCAAATTCCCAATTCAAAAGCAAAGCAATTCAGGTCAAACCAAAATAAATAATGTAAATGGACACCAAACGTCCAAATTTACAATGAAAGTTATACCCAAATCCATACCTCTTTATTATCCTATTTTAAAGGAAGTAGATTTAAGCTTTACAACAACAGCAGAGAAAACAAAAGATATAGTCTAAAGTATTTCCATTAAAATATCATCTTAAAAGTATCATTATGAAACCACACAAACACTGCCAACTTAATACTTTCAGAACAACCCTATGATTTCCCAACCAATCTAAACACACTCTATCCTATCAACTAGAGTTTCAGGGACGTCAACGTTTTTTATTCCTTTCATAAAATTTTTTTCTTGTAAATCCATAGTCTCCACCATATTCATCTTTATCATCAACTCTCAATAATGTAACTGCATGAGAAGATTAGGATCAAACAGATCATAGAGAAATCAGTTAAACTTGGAAATTTGTTACATACTCTTCAATTTAGCAGAGCTGATGTGTTCTCAAAGTGAAATCCTACACCTAGAGTAGCAACACACCACGAGTGAATGGAAATCCTTGGGCATATGATACAGCTAAAGGAAATCCCTTCACAAAAAGGTCTCCCCGATCATAAATGTGGATTATCTATAGTCTCTGAAGCAAGAGTGGTACTCTTTATAAATGGTAATTGTTGAAAAGTCAATTATGTCCCCATGATTTTTAAGTGATAGATAATACTATAAAAATTCTGAGTTGAAAACGTTATTTTCATGAAACTTATAACTATCAATAAATAATTTTTCTACAACTTTCATGTTTTTAGAAAGTGAAACTGAGTGCTTAAGAAAATGGTCAGTCTGTTTCTAATGTCGTGACCAAGTCATTCGATCCAAGAACCCGACGCCCAGCATGTCACATCAGGCTACATTCCTCTTAAATTTAGCAATGTTACCTTTCTGGTAAGAGGTACCTCTATAGGCACTGGGATCACTTCTGCCAGGAGACATCCATAAAAAGCCACCATAAACATGACCGGATCATTGTTGGGGTAAACCAGGGCTACCTAAAATGCATAATGACATTCAGTAACAGAGGAATAAAAACAGACTAACACGTGCAATGTCACACCCTAAGATATACATATATGTTATATACAACATTTATCAGGAACACAATAAATCAAACTATTTAATAGCCAAAAGGAAATTAAGTTATTGAGAAGGATTCGCAAATCTAAAAAGATCTCCGTCATTTCCATAATTATATTAGACACATTTTAGGAACTATAATGTAAATCATCATCAAGTTAAGAATTTTTCAACCATTCTATTGGTGATTTAGCAGTGAATAACTCACCTTAAGTAGTAAGTTAATTACTTGTGAAACCCAAGGCAGTTTACTGTAGTGCAGGGCTAACACAGTAAAATAAATGTAAGGAATCTCTCTAGACAGACCAGCATATTAAAGAATAAGCCTTACATCTCTCAGAGAGAACCTACAAGCACTGATTGACTCGATCACCACTTTAGAGCCAGCCTAAAGCTTCTTACTCTTTAACAAATTCATTGCATTAATCCTTACTCACTTAACCAACAATGCAAGTATTCTAAGCATGAAGGCATTTGTAATAGGTATAAACAAAATGGCAGAAACCACTATGGATATAAAGTTAATTCACTTACAAAAGATAAACAGTGAAACTCCTATAATACATTCAAACCTGTGATCTCAATCTGCAATGCATCCACAGGGATAACCGACTCTTAATTTATTCAAGGAATGCAAAAACACAGAAGTCACTATCATTGTGGAGTTTGTTACTTGGCTTGGATGTTCATAGATTAACATTTGAAACTTAATTATGTCACCAGACTCTTACTTTCCCTTCTTTTGCTTTCAAATTCTCTTAACTCACTCTCAAGATAAGTTCAATTCTGAAACTTCTAGAGATCTAAGAAAATACTAATTCCATAAGATATTTAAACAACCCATTTCCTCCCTGCACAAGTGTCCACGTTGTTAGGAAGACACAAAGTTACCGTCTTAGGGTCCAGTGAGGATTAGGAAATACTCAGGTGTCACATTTATAAGTGGAAGCCATACTTTAGATGCTCTTTGCCACAAGGCAAAAGTATTTTCAAAAGGCTAGTTTAGGAGATTCTGTAATTATTAGCCTACTAAAAAGAATTCTGCTGCGTATTCAATGTATCATTCTACAAATTCCAAATGAAAAGGAATGTTTGATGGTAAGAAGTAATCATATTTAGAAAGTCATTAATAGGAAAAAACCTTCAAAAATTAAAAAAATGTAAATGTCACCTCCGATTAAAGAAGAAATTAAATGATGTCAACTTGTTTCTTCTTAGAATTCTAGTAACATGAGTCTCCCTCCCTTTCTACATAGAACCACAGGAAATTGTTTTAAATTTTATTTTTAAAGAAAAAAAATCAAAGAGTAAAATTTACTGCTACTTTTGTTATCTAAATATTGAAATACTTATTTCCAGAAAGGCTTAGGATTCTCTCTTTTTATTAGCACCTCAAGAGTTTATTGATTAGCAGCTACAGAAAGGGACATGTGAATTTCCTTCAAGCTATGAATGCAAGAATTATCACCCGGCATTGGGCTAACCTGGACTGGAATCAAATCATTTCCATTTTCTAAGAACTAGACTTACATAAATTGTGCTGTTGCACATTAAAAATCCAGAATGTGCATATTAGAAAACAATAAAACATCACCTCCCTAAAACCAAAAAACCAATTACCCTGTCTCCAGGTTTTAATACAGGTTCATTCTTGGTCCCTAGCTTATTAAGCAGTGTATAGGCCAACTTTAAACTTCTGCTCCACAGCTTCCCTGGAAAAAGAAAAGAAAAGCGTCATATAGAAAAACAGGCCTACCTCAGAGAGAAGGTATTCAGTTCATCAGCACATTTACTAGGACAATGGCCACTGCTAAATGACACAGACAAGCACAACCCCAACACACAGAGCCCCCCCCAACACGCTTTATATTCCCTCTAGTTTAGGCAAGCCAGTCATGCCGCCAAACAAAAAGAACATCACCGGAAGCTCACTCTGGTTTAAATAATATTTCAAATTCTTTTCTGAAGTAATCTGAGTATCTTCAGAAATAATTTGATGTGAACTGATCACATTAAAAGGGAAAGAAATAATTTTTTATCACAGGACTGAAAATCAGACTATTTCTGTTATAAGCTTTTTCTGAAGAACCACTTACACGTATGGTATTAGATACTTGAAGGAACCACAAAGTGAAAGGAGGACTCAAATGATTAAGCATCCCGTACCACTGTATTTCAGTGAAAACAGACGACAAAATGAAAACTATGTGAAACGTGGATATTCTCATAGATGTTAAATAAACACGTAAAGATTTGGCCAGCTGACTGCTTTCTTTAAGAGTTACATGGATGAAATTAATATACAGCTTCTGAAATGAATGCTAAAAACTATTTTGGGGGAAAAACTCTATTCTTCCCCTCTTCTCGCTCCCTCCCACCAACCACCCTTAGACATTCTCATTTTAGATCATGAAGAAAGTGAAAGAGAAATCATGTTATTTTGAACAGATATGTTTTACATACAACTCATCCAGAGGGGCATCTAAGTTTTAAACTCACGTCAATCTGTAAAACTCCTTTAAATATCTATTTTTCCTCTTAAAATTAGTCTATATCTAGGTCTATGGACAACATGTTCCACTTGTGAAGGGAAAAAGGAATCTGTTTGAATCAACTAGTACAAAATCTCACCTTCTTGTTATTTAAAAAATGAAAAATAAAGTTATTTTTAAAAGAATTTACAAAAGAAACATAAGTTGCTTTAAAAAGTTATTTTAAAAAGAACAATAAAAACTTTAGCTGGGATGCAAAACTAAATGGAAAAGTACTGATTCCTTGATCATTATAGAATTTTGTGCCTGTTACAAGCAAGAGGCAGGATGAAGTAAATGACAAGGATCTATACAGTAATCAATTTCAATGTTTAGATAAAACTATCTGATGTTTACCATACACCATTAATCTGCCCAATTGTCTTCCTAATCATCTTCTAATGTTAAAACATGAGTGGATCTACAAAGTCTCTTTCTTTTTTTTGCTCTTTTAAATATTAGCTGGTTTGTAAATGTCACTTTAGCAAATGAAAATATTTGGTGAACAGCTGTACTTTTAGAACTTAAGATCTTTTAGACCCACAACTAAAATATACAACTATATACTAGGGGGATTTGGGGAGAAAAAAGCAGGGAAAAAAAAAGATCTTTTAAATTGTTTTTTTACACAACGATGTTTTACTAAACATGAAGATAAAACACTCCCCACGATAATCTGAGGAATTATTAGGAGAAAAGGAAGGAGCTGGCGTCTTGTAAACTCACCATATGTAAGCGTGTACACTGGTTTCCCGGTCACGTCCAGGGCGGTCAGACAGGGGCACTTGGCTTGAGTCGTGCCCCAGCGCTGCAGGGCAGACTCAAGAGCAGGAGGCCAGTTACAGATGACTCCTAAGGGCTCTCCCTTTACTGGGGTCATCTGCCGTCCCTCAGGCTTGGGCTGGTTGGGGTCTGGCTGAGGTACTGCATCAAAAAAACCCCAATAGGTTATGAAAATAAGATCTGAAAGAAGTACAAACACCAACTAACACAACGTAGGTCTCCACTCGCAAATATATTTCCCCTTTCGCTTCACCTTTATCTGGTTTAAACTCACTCTGAGAAAAGAAAAAATATTGTTAGAAATGGTAATCCACAAACTGGGCTTTAATTCACTTCCCCCACACAATTGTAAAATCATATTTAATGTATTTTACACAACAAATCCTGACCGTGACAAAGCAAATCACTGAACATGCAGAAAAGCACAAAGTGTAAACTTCCTTTCAGCAATTTTATAATTTTTAGTAAACTTGTTTCTAATTCTTTGTGTCCAACGTTAGAGAGCTGGGTTCCACTTCACCAGGTTATGTTTAACGAAAAAGCATTGGGGCCAGCCTGTGGCCGAGTGGTTAAGTTTGCGCCTCCGCTTCGGGAGCCCAGGGTTTCACCGGTTCAGATCCCGGGCGCAGACATGGCACCGCTCGTCAGACCATGCTGAAGCGGCGTCCCACACAGCACAACCAGAGGCACTCACAACTAGAATATACAACTATGCACTGGGGGGCTTTGGGGAGAAGAAAAAAAAAGATTGGCAACACTTGTTAGCTCAGGTGCCAATCTCTTAAAAAAAAAAAAAAAGAAAAAAGAAAAAGCACTGACCTGCTGAGTCAGAAAACAGAAGTTTACATTCACTTTTTATTAGTTTGACCTCAGGCAAACTCAGTTATCTGAGCCTCATTTTTTCTCATCTTTAAAATGGGGACAGTAACAGTTATACCACAGGGTCATTATTAGACTCAAACAGATAACGGCCATGAACAACATGTTCCTTCCACGTCTCCGTACCTTCGCACACATCTCATATGGCCAATCCCTCTGCCTCCTGGTAAACTCATACTCATCCTTCTCAGGATTCAGCTCAGACAGCACGCTCCTTGGGAAGCTGTCCCTGGCCATTCCTTCCTCAGTGCTCCCACACTACATGGCAGTCCACCCTTATTAAAGCACTGAGGACCCCCAAGAGCTTCTATTACTGAGCAAGTTTTCCCTCCCCCAAGACTGACAGCTTTTTGAGAGAAGGCATGCTTCTTATTCCTCTTATGGCCTAGAGTCCTAACACATAATGGTTGCTCAATAAATATTAATTAAATTGAACTGAATTTGGGAGAGAAAATAAAACACTAGATTATTACCATGGTCATTTTTACAATAAAAAAGTATTATTCAAATAATAAAAAGCAAACAAACCCTACATTTTCATAGAAGGAAAGATAATTTACACATGGAACAAAAAGTCAAGTATTTACTGAGTGCCAATTACGTGCACAGGATGTGACAAACATTGAGAAAATAAACGTTGCACATATCATTCCTTGAACCAACATTTATTGCATGTGATAATGGTAGGTGCAAGGAGTGCAGAGTCCATGCCCTCCAGGAGTGTCTGGAGTGCAATGGGGTCACGGACTCACACACAGAGCTAAGTAAACACGAGCAGTGCACGACAGGAACACGTACAGAGAGGGCAGAAGAGAGCCACAGTGCCCAGCTTAGGGGGTGCGGTCCCCCCCCTGGAGGAGGGAATGCCTGAGCTGAGTCTTAAAGGAAGAGTAGGAACTAGCCAGGTGAACAGGAGATGAGAGAAGAGGCACAGGAGGGAGAATGGACAGAATGAGCAACAACTATCAGATGGGAAAGTGAAATATGAAATAAACTGTATTTTATAGTTCAATTTAATGACAGATTTGGGAAACTTAAAATGTCTTAATTCATTTTCTACTGACATAAAACTAATGAAATAAGTTTCACTTCCCAATTCACCGCCCTAGGTAAATAACATTTCAGCTGCCCTTCTACTTTATATATTCTCAGACTTAAACACCAGATTAAGTAAGAAAATAAACATGGTTAACTCTAAATAGTTTTGTTTGTACACGCAGACTGTATATACGGTAGGCACAGTCTTCCGGTCATAGAAGTCTGTACATTATGGCCATCCACTACGCCTCAGTGCAGACCCTGGGGCCTATTCTTTCAGTCTTCCAAACACATACAGGTATTTTTCTTTTCTAAAGGCAATCATTATGCAAATAAACAATTGTTGCCTATTTATAATTAGCGGAAAGCTGTTAGCTCTATTCTGCCAATGAAAACTGTTCAAGTATGATTCCTATTAACCCTTGACGTTCATTTGCCTGGCCAATACACAGTGCTAAAAAGACTGGAGAGGTTATTACTGGCATGAGCATCTTGAACATCAGTGCATCAAGATGTCCATAGTTCAATGAGGCTAGTGACTCCTAAAGAAACAGAAATTCACCTTAATCTCATACATCAGGCTGCTTGTTGCTTCCTGCTGCACAAAGTGGGCTAAGACTGGTCTACTATGGTGCCTAGTTCCATTAACAGGTCTAATGTGATCAAAGCTTACTATTAGTTCTTTTGACAAAAGCATTTGGTAGGTAGGTCTATCCATCACCTAGCTTCAGTAATTATCCAATGGCCAACCTTGTTTCATCTATACTCCCAAGCATTCCCCTTCCAATGCTACCTATTAAATTCTAGGCATCATACGATTTCATCTATAAATATCTTTTTAAATTATTGAATGAATAAATCACTATTACCACTTCTTCTATGAAGCCTTCCCTAACCACAGAGATGGAACTGATTTCCTCCTTTCTCCAAACTGCCTATATGAGTTGATACATATTTATTGGCTAAGCTCAGTTTTCATTTGTATATAGTTTAGCAGTGTTCTAAACCGTAAACATGAAGGAAGAAGGAAGTGACTGACTTTTCACCATCCACCAGGTCGTCTTGTAGAAAGCAGACATATATATGTGCTGACTGGCTGATTTAATGAAAGGACTATGTTACATCAAAAAAGATAGGGCAAACTTTTGAAGTTGAATACGACATCTGTATTCTAGAATAACACCAAATATAGATAATTTAAAAAATTACGTATTTGGGAAAGTTCCTAATTTCAAAGAACATATTTCAAAGGATAGTTCTATGTTCCATAGTTATCTCTTTGCCTTTCTCTCCCCTCCATCCCTCCTTATTTTTCATCTGAGACGCAAAACATAAATGATCCTTAGGGAAAAAAGAGCAGAGAACTATGATCTCTTTCAACCAAAACCAATGCCTTGTTCATCCTTAAATCCTACAGTATCTTACGTGTAGTAAGTGCTCAGAAAATGTTTGCTTAAGGAACATATGTTTTTGGTATTATTACTACTACCTTCCACAATTTCTTCAGAGTCATCCACAAAAAATTCCTTTAAGGGAGGCCTTTTGGGTCGTTTCAGAGTGTTGAGAAGCTGCTGGATTTTTGTGGATACTCTGCTATTGACAGGAACACCTATAAGGGAAAAAATGGTAAGTCAAAATTAATTCATTTTGGGGATACTTCAGTTCCTCAATGCTCTTAGGAGCTTTTATTTCTCATAATATTTGGTCTTTGCCCACAGTCTCATTCTATTTCAACCGGGCCAAACAGGTACAAATATGTACATAATAAGTTTTACAACAATAGAGAACAACTATGGCACTACTATTAATACATTGCTTACAGATTTCATCTAATCTCCCTTTTCTCTTATAGCATCCTTTTCTTTTTCCATACTTATTTTTTTGCTCAAAGTATCTTTTGAAAGTACAGACTGAGTGTGAACGAGTGTCAGTGCTGCCACAGTGCAGACTGCTGAAAAGAGGGCATTCGAGATGACTTACGTTAGAGGGCCCACTGCAGCGGAGTTCTGTAGCTGCTGGACCGGTCAGGCACTACTATTTATAATTTGAATTGTTCCAGTTTAACTAATATTCCCTATTTAGCTACCAAAAAGAACTCCCTACCATCAGCTGTATCCATAAGGCTGGACCTGTTGGACCCTTTGTGCATGCCTTTAACTATCCCCGAGGCGGGCAGATCAATATTTGCTGGGCGTATTGAGGAAGATGATGATGAAGAGGAGGTAGTTGTAGTGACGTCAGGGGGAGCAGAGAAATTCTCTAAGAGGGGAGAAAACAAAATTTAGAATTATATTACATTAGCAGTAAAAATAAGAACCTTCACATCTTTTCTTGTTTTTTTTTAATAAGGAAGAAAACTACATAACTCAGGCATTCACTCTTGTCAATCTTTTAAATCAAATTCTACTAGCAAGATATAATGAGAGAGCAAGAGGTTAAGCCAGGGCATATCAGCTTTCCAAAATTATTATTTTCAAGAACTCAGGTAGCCTTAGTAAGATCAAATTACTTATCAAATGTTTCTCAAAAACATTCTTTTCCACACAGAAAGTCTCATAGAAACTCAATGTTATAAAAATAATCATAACAAAATAAAAATTGCAACTGGCTTCCAAATTAAACCAAAGTGAGTATGATCAGAACGGCTACAAATATTCCAGTCTCTTGAGCATTTCTTCATGTCTGTGTTGATTTATCTATAATGTTTCCTTTTCCATTGAAGATTTCCACTGGGAGTGGGTCAGATCGCTCAAGTTCCCAGATGAAGAAAACCAGATAAAGTCCACTTCTAGTTTTTATAAAATAACCCAGAGGTCACTTGGATCTCCCTGACAGACCAGGTTCTTCCCTTGTTCTAAGCAGGATGAAATAGTGTTGCTGTACTCTGCTTCAAGTAGGGATTCTTAATATAAGGAAACTGAATGGTATAAGTTGGAAGAGAGCCATTCAACAGGGATGTGTTACAAAAAAGTCAGAAGAAGAAAACATTTGGGGAGTAAGAAAAAGAAAATTAGAGGAAATAAAATATACAACTCACAAGAATAATGAAAAGCCACTCAAAACTAAAAAGGAAAAAATCATAATGTAAACCATTTCTAAAATCAATTTGGGAGTAAGGTCTCTATGCCTCAAAAGTCTGTAATTACTAGTTTAATAATTTTGAAGGTTTTAAATATACTAGCACAAGCATACTACAGTATCTCCTTTCTGTAGGATAATGTGGTAAACAAAGCATTAAAAACAGACATTTTTATTTGACCCAGTAATTCCACTTATAGGAATACATCCTAAGAAAATAATCAGACAAATGCACAAAGTTGTGTGTTCAAGGATGTTCATTCCAGCAGTCTTACAATAGTAAAAACTGGATACTACTTAAATGTCCAAAATAGGGAAATGGCTAAATAAACCAGGACATAACCATACACTGGGATATTCTGAAACCATAAAAACAAGAGTATAATTGTATATTAACAATATAAAAGATGTTTGTGACACACTGCTAAGAAAAGCAGGTTGTGAACATTATGTTTAATACAATTTCATTTTTGTAAAAACAAAACCCAAACCCTACACATTTATATCCAAATAAAGTCTAGAAGGATATATACTAAAGAGATGACACGAAAATGTTATCCATGGGAAGTGAATTTATAAATTATTTTTCTTTTATCTGTATTTTCAAATTTTTCTATTAGAAACATGAATTACTTCTGATAGCGCAAACATCCAAAAGGCAGTAACGTTGGATAAAATGGTTCTGTGAGTGCCTGAACCAGTAACTTTCCACAGAGCAGTAGAAGCAATAGAAAAATATGAAGTCAGATGAAATCACCCTGTTAACAAAAATTCAGATGAAGTTAACTGGGCATCGTCAGGACAATATTTTTAACAAGTGAAATTGCTTTCTTTTAGACAAATGTAGAAATAAAACCTGCCCTAACCCAGGCTGTGTGGCTTCCCCTCCCACAGAAGAGGTGGTGAGCGGGCTCATCTAACTGCCTGCAGAGGTTCAGTGAATCACAGGGCAGAGCTAAGAGTGCAGGACAAGCCATCAGCTGTTGGCACTTGGCTTTTTAATGAGGGCAATCATACTCTCAAGATAGCTACTTTCTTTAAAAATTACAGGCTGGAATTGAAAATTTTCTGAGTTCTTCTTTTCAGAAGTCAATTAATAGAATAAAGAGAGATATATATAAGGTGATACAGAAAGGTCACTGATATGAAAACTAAGACACCAAATGTCACAGACACATGATGCTTATGCATCACCTTGTGCAGTGTGCACCAACTAGTGAAGCAGAAGCAGAGGTCTCAGCTGTATATTTATCTGCAGACATCACAAACTCTTAAAACACAGACACACACAAACACAAAGCAGAGCCAAGCAAAAGCTACACTCCACACAGAAGCATCGGCAGCACAAGGCAGCTCACAGAGAACCAACATCCTCAGCCTGCACACTCCCGTTGTAGCAGTAACACAGCAGCAAGGACAATAAATCCAGTCTTTATGCTAAAGACAAAAAGGCCTCACTGATTTTTGTCTTAGTGCAGAATTTGCCTGAGTTTAATGTTTTTTGTTTGAGAGAATGGAGACAACAATCCTGGGAAAAATCTAAGATGTTACATATTTTAACATCTTTTAACAGATGGACTATTTCTCAACAGGGATAAACCCACGCTAAGACTGGTGTTGTATCTTGCAGCTTGAGTATTGCTTATGGAAATAGCTATGGCTTCAGGTGGGCAATACTATGCACCAATAATGCAGATGGTATCTATCACTCCAAATGTATTCCTGGTGTTTCCTTCACTGCTTTATTAACTGTTGTGTTCTTTCTGATTCTATTTTTTAAAGCCACTCTGAAAAACCTAATACAAATCATCAACTGTTTCCTGGATACTGGGGGCCGAATGGAACACAATTTGGGCTTCTTGGGTAGATTCAGCTCCTACCTATTCGAGTATTGGCAAATACATCAGCTAGAGACCCACTGGTTCCTTTGACCTCTCCATGGGACAGCGTAGAAGATGCAGATGAAGAAGTGGACGATCCCTGAATTGAACGGTTGATCCAGGACTCAGCATTCTGTAAGCTCTGTTGCAAGGCAGCAGAGAGCGCAGCTTGGCGTCTCAGAGAGCCCTCATCCTCAGAGGCCGAAGACGTGTCTGTGTGGAATTAGAAAAAAAGAAGTTCTCGATCCTGCCTAGAACAGAGACCTTTCAGTTCTTGCTCATTGGTCACACATTCAATTCTGACAGCAGCAAAACATTCACATTCTTAAGGTAGATTAATATGTAAGGTTTCTCAAGAACCTCAAAGAAAGGTCTATAGACCAAAACCTGCAAAAATAAGACAGCTGAAATCTACAGGTAATTTTAACTTCTTTTAAAAAACCCCTTTTAGAACATTTAAACTTCATTCGCTGTTTTTCTGTTCTGAGCTTAATTAGTATCTAAATTCTTCTGGCTTATCTACTTATGTTCAAATAATACTGTAGTGCTTATATATCTCCTCAATCTCTTAATTAGAGAATCTTATGATAGGCTGCTACACTAATTTTGACAAGTACGTATTAATTGGTGTCTACTTAAAAGGAAATGATCTTGATAGGGAAATATAAAAATTTATTTTTGTTAACAACTTAAGTGCCAAACAGTGAGCTAGGTGCTAGAGAACTGATGCAGACTAAGAAACAGGGCTTGGCCTAGAGGCATTCATGGTTTTGGTGGAAAAGCCAGCTAATCACAGGGCACAGGTGAGCTTTCCAAACATGACAGGAGAGGGCACAGATCTGTATTATTCTCCTTAATTCTCAGACGGAGAAGAACTGTGAGAAATTCACTAATGTCTGTATTTAGCCTGGCTCTGACTTAGGAAAATAAGGCCTAAGTTGGAAAAGCATGTTGAAAAAAATAAAAAAACAGAAGTTCAACCAAATATAGGATAGCCAGGGGGAGCAGAAGTCAAGAACTTATTCCAGGACTCTAAGCTTACAAGGCATATAAATTGAAGGGGCATTTGGTCTGAGGTGAGACAAACCCTTCTAAATGTTGGGGATTATAAATTATGGCCTGTGGATTAAATTTCATTCATTTTTTTTAAAATCAACTATTCTGTGGTTAGTCCTGCCAACACCTTCCTCTAACTCAGGTGAAACTGTAGGTCCATGTTCTACTTTGGTTCAGAGAGCAAGAGATAACTAACAGTGCTAGAACACTGCTAGTGCTGACAACGGAAACCTGAACTACAAAAGATAAATTTAATCTAGAAGTCAAATTCTGCAGGTCCAGAGTAAGAGAGAAAATTAAAATAATGACTATATCCTTGCTTCCTGCTCTGGGCTACCTCCAACTTATTATCTCATAATGAAGGAGATCTGAGGCCCAAGACGGACTGTTTTTGATTTTTTTACAATGTACTACGTAACTACAATATGTGCTGGGAACTATGTCAGGTTCCGGGGAATCTGAGATGTGTGAGATCTTATGAGACAGTAAGTGCCCTAAAACCTTACAGTCCAGTATAGGAGGCACACAGCTCCGCAGACTGTTTCAAAGAATGCAACAGATGCTAAGAAACAGGATAGCAAAGGCTTTCACAGGAGGAGGGGCACCCATATCAGTCCGGGATTTCAAGTACTTCTATTTAAATGGAGCAAAGACTTTGAGGAGGCAAGGGGCAAAAGATGAAGCTGGAGAGGTAAACAGTGACCCAGGCTGCAAAGGATAAATGGACGAGGTTCTTTAAAGGAGAAAGAGAGCTATAATGCAAAAGAATGGTGACCAAAGGAAAATATGGAGAAAGAAAAGCAACAGCACCTGTAACCTTTTACTTAAGGAAAGTGTCTTGCATAATTTCCAGAAATTATATTAACATTTCAACTGTATCTTGAGAGGCAGAAACTTCTGTTCTTGCCAACTCACTAAAGAAAAGGGGGCAGGTGGGGAGGCATGGGACAGATGAATCTGAACCTAAGAATAAAGTATTTTCAGGGTAACACACGTCAGGACCCCACAAACTCCACTGGATTTGCAGGCTGTCTTTATTGCATCATTTATTTTAATCTAAGTCAGTCTAAAGTCAGAATAATCCAATTTTCAAAAGATAGTAAAACCAGTATTTTCATGATTAGGTTTACCGAAAATTGGCTTCATTATGTTTCTACAGTGAATCAATTATGTAATTAGGTGTATTGTTTCAATTCGATTACCTCATTTGCCTGCCAGTCCTCCTCAAAGTGTTTAGTGACTACAATTGCGGGGCAGCTTATCGTAGTGGGAAAAACATGGCTTTGGATTCGTCTTCTGTTGGAACTCTGGGGTCCACGACTTACTAGCTATGTGACTTGGGGATAAAATTACCCATCCGCGAAGGCTATTTGTTCATTGATTCAACAAATACTACCAAGCTCTACACTAGTTGCTAGGAATAAAACGGTGAGCAGGAACACAGTCCCTACTCAATAGGACTTAAGAGTCTTACAGGAGTTCAGGGTAGGCGCCCAAGGAAGTCAGACCTAAACCCAGGCTGGAAGGAGGAATTAGTTATAAGGGACAGAGAGGTGGGGAGAGAGAAGAGTCAGCAGAGGGAACTGCATGTGGGAAAGCTGGGAGGGACAGACAACAAAGCATATCAGAAGATCAAAGACATGAGACTAGCTGAAGCACAGAATGCAAAATTGGTGGTGATGAAAGATGAGGCTGGACAAGTGGACAGCGCTGGGTTGCTAAGAGCCATGTAAGACATGCTAAGGAAGCTCGCCTTTATGCTCACTGCAGCGGGAGACCACGAAACGAGACAAGGTACAGAAAGCACCCCCGGCGGGGCCAGCACACAGCAGTAGGCCAATAAACGTCAGTTGCCCTCTCTTCTCCGAATAACCCACCCTGTGTTACCTCAAAGGCACAAAAGTGTGGTGGGCCAAGCTTACAGCTGACCATGTGTTAAGATCACGTAAACTGTAAGCACTGCTCTGGGACTCTCTCTTTTTAAAAATAAAAATGAGCTCCCTTAAATATTTATATGTTTACTTAGTAGCTTTTTTTTTTTTTAGGTAACTGTCACCCAGGAAATTGCAATAGATTAGTAAAAATTGGGGCAAGATTAAATTAATACAAATAAAGTTAGCATTTTCCCACTGATTCTGCTCTGGGTGAACACGAACTCACAACTGTTACCTAACATAACCAAAGTCCTTGCTAAGCTCTTGTATATGATGAATTCAACGGGTCTATACAACAGAAAACAATTCTGAAAACATGGTTTGCCCTTCAGTTTATAACTTGTGAGATTTTAACACAGCGTCATTTAATACTAATCACCAGAAGCCTAAAATTCATTTATAATCAATTAGAAAACACATAAACAATGAGCTTGTTGATTTTAAGGGAAGAAAAGTCCTGAATTTACTAACTTCTTAACTGCTATAGCACTTTTAGACTTCAGCCATGTGTGGAAATGACTTCCCTCTTCTTCATTGCAAATACACTTATTATAACTAAAAAATGTTTATTTAAAAAATTTAAACACCTACCGTATCCACTCTACTCCTGAGAAATGAAAGCATATATCTCTACAAGGACTTGCACATGAATGTTCATAGGAACTTTATTTATAATAGCTAAAAATGGGAAACTACCAAAATGCCCATCCACAACTGAATGGATAAACAAATTGTGGGACATCTATATGATGGAACACTACTCAGCGATAAAAAGGAATGAACTTCTGAGACACACAACAACATGGATGAATCTCAAAATAATTACACTGAGTAAAAGAAGACAAACATCTCTCTACCTCCCCCCAAAAAGAAGTACGACTGTATGATTCCATTTACATAAAATTCTAGAAAATGCAAACTAATATATAGTGATAAAAAACAGATCAGTGGTTACCTCAAGGGGATGTGGAGAGGTGGGATTACAAAGGGATTATGAGAAAACTTGGAGACTGATGGATACGTTCATTATCTTCATTGTGGTGATGGTTTCACAGTTTTACTATGTCAAAACTTAGCAAAGTATATACTTTAAATATGTGCTGTATGTCCATTATAATTCAATAAAGCTGTAAAAAAATAAGCTAATTTAAAAAGAATTGTGGGGGTGAAAACAATGCCTTGGTGAGAGGATGGTAATATCTGAGAGTCAGTCCACACAACCTGAGGGGTACTGGGCAAGTCTGGCAAGTTCCTGGAAAGAAAGTGCCTGCCACGGGGTTTGGGCAGCCAACACCAAAATTAGGCCCAGACACCAACTCAGAACAGCAGGTAAGGCAAGATTCACCTAAAGAAAGATCTCGTCCTAACAACGAGTACAAAATATGTCACCTAAACTAAGCCAGGAAATGGGAGCATCAAAGAACAAATAAAGGAAACAACCACAAGGACACCGAGTGTATGATATTCTGGAGCACACGGAAGAAATGTGTGTGTGTGAGTATGTGTGAGTGTGTGTTTTGGGTCGGTAGGGTGGGAGGGAGTGGTGTCAGGCAGGAAAGTGTCATTTTCTCTTGCATTGGTGGGTTAGGGAATTAAAGAGTTCCAGAAATACCTTCAAGAGAGGCAAATGAAGTTTCTCTGTAGGCAAGGAAAAAGTTTGAAGCTTAAGGAGGAAAATCTGTAGAGACCCAAGAAGGGGCAGCCTAGGAGTAACAGCGTATCTAGAAGAGAAGACTAAAAGGTTAGCTCTGGAAGCAGGCCAATCTGACCTTAGCTTGGGCTACAAATTCTGGGCAACTTAAGCTAGCACTAAACCCAACCAGTGTGGGTGCTGATTCACCAGACAAGCCTTATGGAGACTTTCAAGCATCCCACGATAATCCATGTGCACAGAGAGCTGGCTGGGACTGACAACTACCATGCAGAGCCTAACCGGCAGGAGGTCCATGAGTTGCCTGACCATGAACATCCAAACTGGGATGCTCCTGAGAGAAGGGGAATGTGCTATTAATAATTACTGTAGGCTCACTTTACCTACAAGGGATCTCCAAACACTGTTTTTCTAGGTATTTCCCCATATTTACAAAAACTACAAAACTCATTAATATGACAAATAACATTAGGGAGAGAAGAGAGTTTTTTTCACTTACTGCCTATTTGAAAAGTTAGAGCAAACACTCAGCAATTGTTAAGAGCTCCAAATTACCAGAAAATACTTACTGA